TCACCGGGTCCCGCAGCGCCCGGCCCAGGCGGGACAGGGCCCCCGCGGGGGGGGGGGCTGAGAACTGGGGCAGGGACAGAGCGGTCACGCACGGCCCCAGCCCTCATCCAGACCCAGACCCGGATCCATACCCATCTCCATACCCATCTCCATACCCGTCTCCATACCCGTCTCCATATTCCATACCATACCTGTATCCATCTCCATCTCCATCTCCATATTCCATAGCGTACCTGTATCCATCTCCATACCCATCTCCATACCCATCTCCATATTCCATACCATACCTGTATCCATACCCATACCCATCTCCATATTCCATACCATACCTGTATCCATACCCATACCCATCTCCATATTCCATACCATACCTGTATCCATACCCATACCCATCTCCATATTCCATACCGTACCTGTACCCATACCCATACCCATCTCCATATTCCATACCATACCTGTACCCATCTCCATACCCATCTCCATATTCCATACCGTACCTGTATCCATACCCATACCCATCTCCATATTCCATACCGTACCTGTACCCATCTCCATACCCATCTCCATATTCCATACCATACCTGTACCCATCTCCATATCCATCTCCATATTCCATACCATACCTGTACCCATCTCCATACCCATCTCCATATTCCATACCATACCTGTATCCATACCCATACCCATCTCCGTACCCATACCCGTACCCATACCCATACCCATACCCATATCCCATATCCATACCCATACCCATACCCATACCCCATTCCCGTACCCATATCCCGTATCCATATCCCATACCCATACCCATATCCCATACCCATACCCATACCCGTACCCATACCCATATCCCATACCCATACCCATATCCCATACCCATATTCCATACCTATACCCATACCCCATTCCCGTACCCATATCCCATACCCATATCCCATACCCATATCCCATACCCATACCCCATTCCCGTACCCATATTCCATACCCATACCCATATCTACCTCCATATTCCATCTCCATACCCATCTCCCATCTCCCCAGCCCCACCTGCAGCAGGAGCCTCCGGGATCGCTCCAGTCTCTGCACTGGTTCCAGCCCGGCCGCCCGGCACAGGGACACGGCGTTGGTGGAGTCGGCAGTGCAGACCCCAAGCCTGGGACCCATTGCACCCATGGGTGGTCCATAGAACCCATGGGACCCCACTGCACTCATGGCACCCCAGAGTACCCACAGCACCCCATTGCACCCATGGCACCCCATTGCACCCATGGCACCCCAGAGTACCCATGGCACCCCAGAGTACCCATGGCACCCCACTGCACTCATGGCACCCCAGAGTACCCACAGCACCCCATTGCACCCATGGCACCCCATTGCACCCATGGCACCCCAGAGTACCCATGGCACCCCACTGCACCCATGGCACCCCAGAGTACCCATGGCACCCCACTGCACCCATGGCACCCCAGAGTACCCATGGCACCCCACTGCACCCATGGCACCCCACTGCACCCATGGCACCCCATTGCACCCATAGGATCCCAGAGCACCCATGGCACCCCACAGCACCCATGGCACCCCATAGAACCCATGGGACCCCATTGCACCCATGGCACCCCATTGCACCCATGGGTGCTCCATACCTGGGCCCGATCTCCAGCAGCACGTGAGGGCCGTGGGGCTGCAGGAAGCTCTCGGGGGCCACCTCCTCCTCCCCCCCCAGGGGGGACCCCAGGATCCAGCGCAGGATCCGGCCCTGCTCCGCGTCTGGGGGAGCCTCACCTGTGGGGAGTGAGGCTGGGACCCCCCCATTGACCCCAAACCCCCCCATTGACCCCAAACCCCCCCATTGACCCCAAACCCCCCCCATTGACCCCAAACCCCCCCCATTGACCCCCATAACCCCCCCATTGACCCCAATAACCCCCCCATTGACCCCATTAACCCCCCCATTGACCCCAATAACCCCCCCATTGACCCCAATAACCCCCCCATTGACCCCAAACACCCCCATTGTCCCCAAACACCCCCCATTGACCCCAAACCCTCCGGTGACCCCAAACCCCTCCATTGACCCCAAACACCCCCCCATTGACCCCAAACCCCCCCCATTGACCCCAAACCCCCCCCATTGACCCCAAAACCCCCCCATTGACCCCAAACACCCCCATTGACCCCAAACACCCCCCATTGACCCCAAACCCTTCCGGTGACCCCAAACCCCTCCATTGACCCCAAACACCCCCCTTGCCCAAAACCCCCCCCATTGACCCCAAACCCCCCCCATTGACCCCAAACCCTTCCGGTGACCCCAAACCCCTCCGGTGACCCCCAAACCCCCCCATTGACCCCAAACCCCCCCCATTGACCCCAAACCCCCCCCATTGACCCCAAACACCTCCCATTGACCCCAAACACCCCCCATTGACCCCAAACCCTTCCGGTGACCCCAAACCCCTCCGGTGACCCCAAACACCCCCCCATTGACCCCAAACCCCCCTTTGACCCCAAACCCCCCCATTGACCCCAAACACCCCCCATTGACCTGAAACACTCCCCATGGCTCCCAATCCCCCCCATTGCCCCCAATCCCCCCCCATTGCCCCCAATCACCCCCCATTGCCCCCAATCACCCCCCAATCCCCCCAATCCCCCCATTGCCCCCAATCCCCCCCCATTGCCCCCAATCACCCCCCAATCCCCCCCCAATCCCCCCCCATTGCCCCCAATCCCCCCCCATTGTCCCCCATTGCCCCCAATCACCCCCCAATCCCCCCCCATTGCCCCCCATTGCCCCCAATCCCCCCCCATTGCCCCCAATCCCCCCCCATTGCCCCCCATTGCCCCCCATTGTCCCCACCGCTCCAGGCCAGGTAGTAGCACGTCTCGCAGGTGACGCTCGTGACCGAGGGCTCCACGGCTCGGGCGAGCTTCAGGGGGGACCCCAACCCCAGCCCCAGCGCAGGGGGGGCCCCCTCGGACCCCCCCACCCTCTCGGGGGGGCCGGGCCGCACATAGAACCGCAGCAACTGCATCTGGGGGGGGGATGGGACTCTCAGTATGGGAACCCACTAAGGGGGTGCCCCCCCCATTAAGGGGGTCCCACACGTCCCCGCTCCCTCCCAGGGCTTGGAACCCCCCCACGACGTCACGGTACGTTACGGTACGTTACGGTACGCTACGGTACGTTACGGTACGTTACGCCACGTTACGCCACGTTACGCCACGTTACGTCACGCACACCCCCCCCCCCTTTACCTCACGGCGCTCCCTCAGGCTCTGACCTCGCGGCTCCCGCGCGCGCCGCACCAGAGGGGAGAGGGCGGGGCTTGAGGGGGGGGGGAGGAGGAGGAGCCGTGACCCCTCCCCCCCTCCGGTCACCCCCCAGTGACCCCCCGTGACCCCTCCGCCTTCCCCATTCATTGGAAGGGGTGGAGGCCGCCCATCCCCCACCCAACCGCGTGGCCTCTTGGGGGGAAGGGGCGTTGACCCCCTCCCCCCCAAGGCCAGAGCTGACCACGTGACCCTCAGAAGGGTTGGGGGTTGGGGGCAGCGGTCCAACGGGGCGGTTGGGGGGTGGGGAAGGTCACGGGTGATGCCATGGGTGACGTCACTGGTGACATCAGGTGGCCTTGGAGGTGGAGGGTGCCACCCCCACCGCCCCCCCATGGCACAGGGGCCCTATGGGGCACGGGGCCCCTTCGCTGCACACCAGGGAGACCCCGTGGCCGTGCTGTCCCCGTTGCCATGGCACCCATTGTCGCCATGGTGATGGTGGGTCCAGTTACCACCCCCGATATGGGACCCAGCAGAAAGGGGGCACCCCAAGAAGTGTCCCAGCAACCCAACATGGGACCAAGCACCCCCGATATGGGACCCAGCAGAAAGGAGGCACCCCAAAAAGGGTCCCAGCACCCCCAACAGGGGACCCAGCACCTGCGATATGGGAACCAGCACCACCAATATGGGACCCAGCAGAAAGGGGGCACCCCAAAAATGGTCCCAACACCCCAAAATAGGTCCCAGCACCCCAATATGGGACCCAGCACCACCAATATGGGACCCAGCAGAAAGGGGGCACCCCACAATTGGTCCCAGCACTCCAAAAAAGGTCCCAGCACCACCAGTATGGGACCCAGGAGAAAGGGAGCACCCCAAAAAAGGTCCCAGCACCTTAAAAAAGGTCCCAGCACCCCAATACGGGACACAGCACCAACAATATGGGACCCAGCACCAACTATATGGGACCCAGCAGAAAGGGGGCACCCCAAAAATGGTCCCAGCACCCCCAAACAGGTCCCAGCACCCCCAATATGGGACCCAGCAGAAAGGGGGCACCCCAAAAATGGTCCCAGCACCCCAAAAAAGGTCCCAGCACCACCAATATGGGACCCAGGAGAAAGGGAGCACCCCAAAAAAGGTCCCAGCACCCCAATACGGGACCCAGCACCAACAATATGGCACCCAGTAGAAAGGGGGCACCCCAAAAATGGTCCCAGCACCCCAATACAGGACCCAGCACCCCAATATAGGACCCAGCACTTAATATGGGACCCAGCAGAAAGGGGGCACCCCAAAAATGGTCCCAGCACCCCAATACAGGTCCCAGCACCCCAATACAGGACCCAGCACCCCAGTATAGGACCCAGCACCAACAATATGGGACCCAGCAGAAAGGGGCCACCTCAAAAATGGTCCCAGCACCCCAATACAGGACCCAGCACCCCAATATAGGACCCAGCACCAACAATATGGGACCCAGCAGAAAGGGGCCACCTCAAAAAGGGTCCCAGCAGCTCCCAGCTGGGACCCAGGCCCCCACAAGCGCCAGCCCCCCCCACCGCTGTTGTCACCTGACCATCTCCGCCTCGCCCTTTTCCCCCTCTCAGCCATTAGGCGAGCAGAGGGCGGTGCCTTCTGGGCAACACCAGGGCCCCGCTCACTCCCGGAACGTCATGGCGGGGCGGGCGGTGTGTGTCGCCGCTGCGCCGAGAGGGGCGCGGTTATGAGGACGTCACTTCCGGCCCCGCCGCTTCCGGGTGGCGATGGATCCCGACTTCGACGACGTCGTCTCCGTGGAGGACCTGATGGTGAGGCCCCGCCCACCCGCGTCACGTGACCGCGCGGCCACACCGCCCCGCCCCCGACCTCCCGCGCCACCGGAGACCCCCCTCAGGCCACGCCCACCTCCCCTCGGTGCACGCCACGCCCCCTCCCCGACCTCCCGCACGCTCGGAGGACAGCCCCCTCCCCTCGGTCACGCCCACCTCCCCTCGAGGCCCCGCCCCTCCCTCAGACCCCTCCCACCGCCCCTCGCGGCCCCTCCCCTCGCCGCAGGCCACGCCCCCTCGCGGTGCAAGCCCCGCCCCTTTGCCCCCCGCCCACTGCCGCCCCCTGCAGGCGCTGGAGCGGCGGTACGCGGAGCAGCGGCAGGGGGGGGCCGTGAGCCGGAGCTGCCAGTTCGAGTACGCCTGGGGGCTGGTGCGGAGCCCCTATGGGGCGGACGTGAGGAAGGGGGTGGCCCTGCTGCAAGGTGGGTCCGCAGTGCGGCGCTGTGGGGCGCTGTGGGGCAAGGGGGAGCGGGGGCCTGAGCACGGTGTCCTCTGCGCTGTCCCCCCAGAGCTGCTGCCAAAGGGGACAAGGGAGGAGCAGCGCGACTACGTGTTCTACCTGGCACTGGGCAACTACCGGCTGAAGGTGGGATGTGGGGCAGGGCGTGTGGGGTGCCGGGTGTGGGGGATATGGGGTATGGGGTATGGGGTATGGGGTATGGGATGTGGGGTGTGGGATGTGGGGTATGGAATATGGGGTACGGGATATGGGGTATGGGGTGTGGGGTATGGGATGTGGGGTATGGAATATGGGGTACGGGATATGGGGTATGGGGTGTGGGATATGGGATATGGGGTATGGGATGTGGGATATGGGGTATGGGATGTGGGGCACAGGATATGGAGTACGGGATATGGGGTATGGGGTGTGGGATATGGGATATGGGGTATGGGATGTGGGATATGGGGTATGGGATGTGGGGTGTGGGATGTGGGGTATGGAATATGGGGTACGGGATATGGGGTATGGGGTGTGGGATATGGGATATGGGGTATGGGATGTGGGATATGGGGTATGGGATGTGGGGTATGGAATATGGGATATGGGATATGGGGTATGGGATATGGGGTATGGGATGTGGGATATGGGGTATGGGATGTAAGGGATATGGAATATGGGGTATGGGATATGGGGTATGGGGTATGGGGTGTGGGATATGGGGTATGGGATGTAAGGGATATGGAATATGGGGTATGGGATATGGGGTATGGGGTGTGGGATATGGGGTATGGGATGTAAGGGATATGGAATATGGGGTATGGGATATGGGGTATGGGATATGGAATATGGGGTATGGGATATGGGGTATGGGGTATGGGGTGTGGGCTATGGGACACTGGAGCTGACCCTGCTCCAGCGCAGGAGTACGAGCGGGCTCTGGAGCACGTGGAGCGGCTGCTTGGGGCTGAGCCCCAGAACACGCAGGGGCTGCGGCTGCGGCGCCGCATCCGGGACAGCATGAAGAGAGGTGAGACCCATAGCAAGACCCATAGAGACCCACAGGGACCCATAGAGACCCACAGAGACCCACAGAGACCTATAGCTTGACCTTTAAGGACCCATAGCCACCCCATAGTGACTGACAGACTCCCATAGTGACCCACAAATACACATGGAGACCTATAGGGACCTATAGAGATCCATGGAGACCCCTTAGTGCCCCCCAGACCCACCCCCCCATTGGCGGGCTGACCTCTGACCCCTGTGACATCTCTCCCCCCCCCCAGATGGGCTCCTGGGCGCCGCCATTGTTGGGGGCGTGGCTCTGGGCGTGGCCGGCCTGGCCGGGCTCCTGGGATTGGCTATCTCCCGTGCCCGCCACTGACGTCATCGCCGTGCTCTCCCCCACGTGACCCTTCCCCTTCCCACCATTGGCCCTGCTGCGGACGGCGAGGACAACGCGATGGCGTCATGGTGACGTCACGGTGACGTCAAGCGGCGGCTTCCACCCCCACCCCCCCCATCCCGTTGTAAATAAACAGCTTCAGGCTCGCCCTGACCCCACGTGACCTGAGGGGGCGGGGCTAACGCGATCCTCGCCCTTTCCTGCCCCGCCCCCCCGGGGCTCTGCAGGTGCCCTGCGCGTGGCAGGAAGCGCCCCTCCCCCTCCGCCCTTCCTGCCCTCCCCCACCGGGAACGGGGGGGGGGGGGGGAGGGGAACGGAGGAATCTGGGGCCCAGAGCGGTGACCGGACCCATAGCGGTGGCTGCTCCCCATAGGGAGCCCAGGTATCTGTGCCCCATAGCGGAGCCCAGGCCCCACTGAGGAATGCAGGCCCCATAGAGGCCCCCATAGCATCCCACAGCCCCACAGCAGCATTGGAACCCTCTATGAGACCCAGGTGTGTGCACTCCATGGCAGCGTCTGTGCCCCACTGAGGCCTTTGGGCCCTATGGCAGCATCCGGGCCCCACAGAGGACCCATGTACCTGGGCCCCACTGAGGCCCATAGTGATGTCCCTGCCCCATAGCACGGTCTCTGCCCCACAGTCATTTCCCTGCCCCACTGTGCTTTCTTTACCCTATAGCCATGTCCCTGCCCCACAGCAGTATCCCTGCCCCACTGTGCTCTCTCTACCCTATAGCCATGTCCCTGCCCCACTGTGCTCTGTACCCCATAGCCATGTCCCTGCCCCACTGTGCTCTCTCTACCCCATAGCCATGTCCCTGCCCCACTGTGCTCTGTACCCCATAGCCATGTCCCTGCCCCACTGTGCTCTCTCTACCCCATAGCCATGTCCCTGCCCCACTGTGCTCTCTCTACCCCATAGCCATGTCCCTGCCCCACAGCAGTATCCCTGCCCCACTGTGCTCTCTACCCCATAGTCATGTCCCTGCCCCACAGCGCTGTCCCCCATTGGCGTCAACAGGAAGGGGGGTGCCGGTGCCAGCAGGGGGAGGGGGGGGGTTCCTTCCTGGCCGGGGGGGGAGGGGCAATGGGGGGTGTCTCCCCTCCCCCCCCTTTATCATGGCCCCACAGCCCCACCCCATTGCGCTCACAGCGGCAGCAGCACGAGCACCGCGACCCCAACCCTGCCACGACCTTGACCTGCCCTTGACCCCCCCGTGTCCCCGCATGACCCCGGCGCTGGGCTGGGGGGTGACCCTGGGGGTGGCCCTGGGCGCTGTGGGGTGGGGGCTGCTCGTGGCCTCCCTGCCCCATAGCGTGTGGGGCATGGCCGGGGGGCAGGCGACCGCTGTGGCCACCGTGGCCATCACCCGCGGGCTCTGGAACGACTGCGCCACGGACGCCAGCGGGGTCACGTCCTGTGTGCCCCTCGTGTCCCTCATCACCCTGCCCGGTATGGGGGGGGGTATGGGGATAGGGGGTATGAGGTATGGGATAGGGGGAATGGGGTATGGAATATGGGATATGGATATGGGGTATGGGACATGGGATGTGGGGTATTGGATATGGGATATGGGATGTGGGATGTGGGGTACTGGATATGGGGTATGGGATGTGGGTTATTGGATATAGGGTATGGGATGGGGGTATGGGATGTATGGGATGTGGGATATGGGGTATGGGATAGGGGATATGGGCTGTATGGGATGTGGGATATGGGGTATGGGATAGGGGGTATGGGCTGTATGGGGTATGGGGTATGGGATGTGGGATGTGGGGTATGGTATATGGAATGTGGGATGTGGGGTATGGGGTATTGGATATAGGGTATGGGATATGGGATATAGGGTATGGGATATGGGGTATGGGGTATGGGATATGGGATATGGGATATGGGGTATGGGATATGGGATGTGGGGTATGGGGGGTTCAGGACTCCCCCCCCCCCCCCAGGGTATCTTCAGGGCTCCCGGGCCTTGGCCGTTCTCGCCACGCTCCTGGCGGTGCCGGGGGTGGTGCTGGGGGGGGTCCCCGGTGCCCGCAGGTCCGCCCGTGCAGCAGGGGGCGCTCTTCTGCTACTGGCAGGTACGGGGGGGGGCAATGGGGCGGCTATGGGGCTGCTATGGGTTGTTATGGGGATGCAATGGGTTGATATGCAGCTGCTATGGGGTTGCCATAGAGTGCAATGCGTGTATATGTGCCTCAGTGTTGCTATGGGCCTCTACGGCTGCTACTGGGTGGCTATGGGGTGTCTATGGGGCTGCTATGGGTTGTTACGGGGATCCAATGGGTTGGTCTGGGGTGGGTGTTACGAGTCTGCTACGGGGTTGCCATAGGGTGCGATGTGTGTCTGTGTGCCTCAATGTGTTGCTACGGATCTCTATGGCTGCTATGGGGCTGTATGGGTCCCTCTATGGGTCACTGTGGTCTCTATGGGTCCCGCTATGGGTCACTATGTCCTCTATGGGTCCCGCAGGCCTGTTGTCATTGGCCGCTGCTGCTTGGTTCGCAGTCGCCATCAGCCACGAGTTCTTCGACCCCCAACACACCGGAGTCCGGTGGGGCAGGGGGGCCTATGGGGGGGGGGGGTCTATGGGCCGCTATGGGGCGGGTGATGGGATGTCTATGGGCCGCTATGGGGCGGGTGATGGGATGTCTATGGGCCACTATGGGGTGGGTTATGGGATGTCTATGGGCCGCTATGGGGTGGGTTATGGGATGTCTATGGGCCACTATGGGGTGGGTTATGGGATGTCTATAGGCCACTAAGAGGCAGGTTATGGGATGTCTATGGGCCGCTATGGGGCGGGTGATGGGATGTCTATGGGCCGCTATGGGGTGGGTTATGGGATGTCTATGGGCCGCTATGGGGCGGGTTATGGGATGTCTATGGGCCGCTATGGGGCGGGATATGGGATGTCTATGGGGCAGGCTATGGGATGTCTATGGGCCGCTATGGGGCAGGCTACGGGGACTCTAGGGAGGCTAAGAGGGCATCTATGGGGGGGTCTATGGGGCTATGTGGAGGCCTATGGGGTGCTATGAGGGCTCTGTGGGGCGCTGTTTGCTGACACCCACCCCCCCCAGGTTCGAGCCGGGCCCGGGGGTGCTGCAGGCGGGAGGGGGCGGGGCCATGGCCGCGGTGGGCGGGGCCCTGGTGATGGCGTTCGCGAGGAACCCCCCCGGGAGCCGCAGGTGAGAGACCACGCCCCTCCCCCAGCGCCCCTCCCCCACCCGTAAGAAGGCGGGGGGGGTGAAGGGGGCGATGGTCACGTGACACTGACACCCCCTCCCCCCGCAGCTCCCCTCCCCCCGCCACCAGCCTCGGGGACAAGTACGTGCGGAACGCCTACGTGTGACGTCACGGGGTCACTGCAGGGGCAACGACCCCCCTCCCACAGACCCTCCCCTTCCCCCCCCGACGGGTCCATAGTGGTGTAAACCGGGGTCCTGCCCCCCAAAACCCCTCCTGCACCTCCATTGGAGCCATTTATTGGGGGGGGGAGGAGGGGCAGGGGTCACACCCCCCCTACCCCCCTGTGGGTGTGCCGTGGGGGGAGGGCCGGGGTCACACGAAGGTCAGGTGCCGCTCGGGGGGGACCCCGAAGTCCCCCTTGTGGCGCTCGAAGAGCTCCGTGAGGCCCCGCAGGTACCGCTCGTGCCACAGCCCCACGGCCTCGGGGGGGGGGTCCGGGATGCGCGGCAGCAGCAGGGGCCGCCCCACTGCGGAGAGACCCCCACAAAGGGGGCGTTATGGGGGAGAGGGAACCCCAATAACCCCCTCCCCTTCCACTGGCCCCAATGGTCTCACCCACGCTGCACACGGCCCGCCGGAAGGGGAGGAGCCCGACGTCGTACTGGAAGACGCCGCGCGCGTGGAAGAGCGGGAGCGCGAACCCGAGCGCGCGCTGGGCGCGGGCCTGGAGCGCGCGCAGGGCGGAGCCGGGGGGGTTGCGCACCTGGCGGAACAGCTCGTTCTCCCCGAAGGAGAACACGGGCACGAGCGCGGCGCTGCGGGGAGGGGGGGTGAGAGGCGAGGGGGGAACAGCGACACAGCCACACCCCCCCCATTGCTGCCAATGGGATAGCCCGGTGCCATGAACACCCCCCCCATAGCTGCCAATGGGATAACCCGGTGCCATGAACACCGTGCCATGAACACCCCCCCTATAGCTGCCAATGGGATAACCCAGTGCCATGAACACCCCCCCCTACAGCTGCCAATGGGATAGCCCGGTGCCATGAACACCCCCCCCTATAGCTGCCAATGGGATAGCCCGGTGCCATGAACACCCCCCCTATAGCTGCCATTGGGATAACCCAGTGCCATGAACACCCCCCCATTGCTCCCAATGGGATGACCCAGTGCCATGAACACCCCCCCATTGCTCACAATGGGATAACCCAGTGCCATAAACACCCCCCCCATTGCTCCCAATGGGATCCCCCGCTCCCCCAAGCCCCCCCTCACCCGTGCCGCAGCGCGCACCGCACGAAGCCCGTTCTGTGCCTCAGCTGCAGCCGCAGCGCCCCCGGGTGCGCATCCAAGGCCTCGGGGGCCCCCCCGAGCACGATGGCGGCCACGTGCCCCCCCCCGGTGCGGCCCAGCAGGAACTCGAGGCTGCGGCGCTCGGACGACACCAACCCTGGTTGTGTGGGGTGGGAACACACACAATGGGACCCCCAAAACCCGTTTAAACCCCCCCCCAAAGCTTGGTGCCCCCCCTACCTCCGGCCATGAGGTATTCCCGCAGCAGCGGCACCCGGAACCAGGCGGGCAGGGTCAGGAGCTGCGGGCGCAGCCCCGGGAAGAGGCGGCCGAACCCGGTGGCCTCGGTGCAGAAGTTACCGAAGGCCCCCGCGGCCAGGACGCCGTGGGGGTGCAGGCCCAGGAGGTAGCTCCCGTTCGGCTCCAGCGGCGCCGTGCGCCGCAGCTGCGGGGGCAAGGCCCCGGAGAGGGGCACTCAGTGAGCAGGCAGCGCGGCGGGCAGCTAAAACCGCCCGGCGGACCCCCCCCCCCCCCCTTGAAGGACCCCAGGCTCACCGAGATGGGGAAGTAGTCCCGGAAGTGCTCCCAGAGCGTCCAGGAGCGGACCCAGCGGGAAGGGCGCCCCCCGCGGCAGGGGGTGTCGCGGTCCGCCCACAGCCAGAGCCCGTAGAGCAGCGCGGGCAGGCGGAGGGGCCCGAGCAGCGCCAGCGCGAACAGCAGCGAGCACAGCTGGGCTGAACCATTGCGGTGCGAGGGGGGGGGGGACCCCACTGAGACACAGCGGGATGGGGGGGCCCGGTACCCCCAAACACCCCCCTATGTGTGTGTGTGCAGTGATCCCTATGGGGGACACAGTGCTGGGCTGAACCATTGCGGTGCGAGAGGGGGGGACCCCACTGAGACACAGCGGGATGGGGGGGCCCGGTACCCCCAAACACCCCCCTATGTGTGTGTGTGCAGTGATCCCTATGGGGGACACAGTGCTGGGCTGAACCATTGCGGTGCGAGGGGGGGGACCCCACTGAGACACAGCGGGATGGGGGGGGCCCGGTACCCCCAAACACCCCCCTGTGTGTGTGTGCGTGTGTGCAATGAGCCCTATGGGGGACACAGCGCTGGGCTGAACCACTGCAGTGCCGAGGGAGGGGGACAGTGCGGCATCCCACTGAGACACAGCGGGATGGGGGGGCCGGTACCCCCAAACACCCCCCTGTGTGTGTGTGTGTGCAGTGATCCCTATGGGGAGCACATTCCCAAATCCGCCCGTGTCCACTATTCCCTATGGGAGGCACAGGGAAGGAAGAACAAGGGAGAGTGGAGGAATTGGAGGACCTCCCCCCCCCCCGGGTCACCCCATTTCGAGGAGCCCCCATTCCCCCCCCAGCACCCCAACCCCCTCCTGGGTGCACCATTCCCTATGGGGGGGGGTTTGGGGGTGCTCACCCAGGGCGAGGAAGGAGAAGACCCACTGCAGAACGGCCGCTGTTTGGAGCCGGCGCTGGAGCGGGATCCGGAGCGGGGCGAAGCGCAGCGCCATTGGGGGGCAATGGGAGGCAATGGGAGCACGGGGGGGGGCGCTAGGAGCCGGTGGTTATAAAGGGGTTGGTTCCGCCCCCTCTGCGCTCCCCTGGGGGGGGTCTTGTGTAAATGGGTGTGCAAAGGGGAACGCTTGTGCAAGGAGGCGATGGGGGGGGGCAGTTTATTGGAGTATTTACAACATGGGGGTACATTGGGGGACCCCATTGAGGGGGTGCCCACATAGGGACACTGGGGGGGGGGGTCACTGCGCGTCCCCCTGGGGGCTGTCCCCAGGCTCTGGTTTGGGGGTGAGGGCAGCGGGGGGGGAGGGCTGCGGGCCGGGGGGGGGTGGGGCGGTGGGGGTGGGGGTTGGGGGGGGTTTGGTGTCGCCGGGGGGGGGCAGGGACACCACGATGTATTTCTGCACGCTGCCGGCAACGGCGCTCACCGTGGCGCTGGGCACCGTGGGGGCGGCCGAGACCAGTTTGACCACGGGCTGCACGCTGGGGGCGCTGGTGCTCACCGGAGACGTGGCGGTGGGGGCGGGGCTGGTGCTGAACGTGAGCACCTGGGGGGGGAGGGGGGCACAGGGCAAGATGGGGCACACAGCCCGTAATACAGTACCCGTACATCCCATAATACCCCACACATCCCATAATACAATACCCATACATCCCATAATACAATACCCACACATCCCATAATACAGTACCCGTACATCCCGTAATACTCCACACATCCCATAATACAATACCGATACATCCCATAATACAATACCCACACAGCCCATAATACAGTACCCGTACATCCCATAATACCCCACACATCCCATAATACAATACCCACACATCCCATAATACAATACCCACACATCCCATAATACAGTACCCATACATCCCATAATACCCCACACATCCCATAATACAATAGCCATACATCCCATAATACAATACCCACACATCCCATAATACAATACCCGCACACCCCATAATACAATACCCGTACATCCCATAATACCCCCCCCATCCCATAATACCCCCCCCCGTACCTGTTGCCCGGCTCCCGCTCCCATGACGATGAACTTGGGGGGGGGCGAGGGCTGGGGGCCCCCCCCCCGTGCCCCCCCCACGGGCACCGCGATGGCTCCTGGGACCTTCAGCAGCCCGGGGGGGCGCGGGGGGGGGGCCCCTGGCACGGCCGGGGGGGGCTGGGACAGCGTCAGCGTGGGGCGGGGCTGGGGAGGGACGGCCCCAGTGAGGGGGGGACATGGAGCCATGGACATCATGGACCCATAGCCCCCCATAGCCCCCATGGCCCCATAGCCCCCATAGCCCCCCATGGCCCCATAGCCCCTGTGGTGCCATAGCCCCCCATAGACCCATAGCCCCCCACGGTCCTTCATAGCCCCCAATGGCCCCCCATAGCCCCCATAGCCCCCTATGACCCCATAGGCCCCCCATAGCCCCCCATAGCCCCCATACCCCTATAGCCCCCATAGCCTCCCATACCCCCATAGCCCCCATAGCCCCCCACAGCCCCCATACCCCTATAGCCCCCATAGCCCCCCATACCCCCATAGCCCCCATAGCCCCCCATAGCCCCCATACCCCCATAGCCCCCATAGCCCCCCATACCCCCATAGCCCCCATAGCCCCCCACAGCCCCCATAGCCCACCTGGGTGATGGTCAGTGTGGTTCTATTCACTTGCTGGGCCGCCAGGGCCGCCTGCGCCCGGGCTTTGCCCACGTGGGAGCAGAGCAGGGCCCCCAGGTACCCGAAGTCTGCCCTATAGGAGTCGGGCTGGTCCGGGGGGGGCCGCAGCTTGGCCAGCACCGGGGCGCAGTGCTTCTGTGGGGAGAGGGCACCCATAGGGAGGCAGTGTGCCCCCAGCCCCATAGGGAGGCAGTGTGCCCCCAGCCCCATAGGGCTCCAATGTCCCCCCCCAGCCCCATAGGGATGCAGTGTGCCCCCAGCCCCATAGGGATGCAATATCCCCCCAGCCCCATAGGGCTCCAATGTCCCCCCCCAGCCCCATAGGGATGCAGTGTGCCCCCAGCCCCATAGGGCTCCAATGTCCCCCCCCAGCCCCATAGGGATGCAGTGTGCCCCCAGCCCCATAGGGCTCCAATGTCCCCCCCCAGCCCCATAGGGATGCAGTGTGCCCCCAGCCCCATAGGGCTCCAATGTCCCCCACCAGCAGCAGGCTCTGGACGTGGTCGGCCCCGATCTTGTCGATGGTGCTGAGCACGGGGCCCTCCAGGATGCTCCGGAGCCGCTCCCCCTCCACCTGCAGGCGCGGCAGGATCAGGGTCTTGATGACCTGGGGAGAGAGGGGGACATGGGGGGCAATGGGAGGTAATGGGGGGCAATGGGGGGCAATGGGGACATAGGGACATGGGGGGCAATGGGGGGCAATGGGGGGTAACGGGGACATGGGGACAGTGGGGACATGGGCAGTAATGGGGACATGGGGGGCTATGGGAGGGCAATGGGGGCATGGGGGGCAATGGGGGGGCAATGGGTACATGGGGTGCAATGGGCACATGGGGTGCAATGGGCACATGGGGGGCTATGGGTACATGTGGGTCACTGTGGGTCACTGGGGACACCCGGAGCCTCACTCACGTCATGGCCCAGCTCAGCCAGGCCTGCGATGGAGCCGTAGCGCGTGGTCCAGGGGGTCTTGTCGTCCACCCAGCTCTAGGGCAGAGAGGGGAGGCTGGGGCCCCACATCCCCGCCCCACAGTGCGCCCCACGGTGTGCCCCACGGCGTGCCCCATAGCGCCCCACGGCGTGCCCCATGGCGTGCCCCATAGCGTGCCCCATAGCGCCCCATGGCGTGCCCCATGGCGTGCCCCACGGCGTGCCCCACGGCGTGCCCCACGGCGTGCCCCACAGCGCCCCAGGGCGTCACCTTGGTGAAGGTCTTGGTGATGCGGCTCTGGACGTTGTTGGTGGTGGTGCTGAAGTTCTTGCAGAGCTGCGCCACGAGGCGGGCGGCGAAGTCCCGCAGGGCCCAGTGGTTGTCGACGTCCGGGCGCAGGCAGAGCTGGCGGCTCACGATGCAGGTGAGCACCGCGGGGATGAGCTCGTGCAGCTGGGGGGCACGGGGGGGACGGATCCAGGGGGGACGGGGGGGAATGGGGGGGGAATGGAGGGGGAATGGAGGGGAATGGAGGGGGAATGGAGGGGGAATGGATGGGGAATGGAGGGGGAATGGAGGGGGAATGGATGGGGAATGGAGGGGGAATGGAGGGGGAATGGAGGGGGAATGGAGGGGGAATGGAGGGGGAATGGAGGGGGAATGGATGGGGAATGGATGGGGAATGGATGGGGAATGGAGGGGGAATGGAGGAGGAAGATGTGGGGGGATCCATGGGGGGAAACATGGGGGGGGAAACGTGAGGAATCCATGGGAATGCATGGGGAAAACAGGGGGAGCACATGAGGAATACAAGGGGAACCCATAGGGAACCCATAAAGAGCACATAGGGAACCCATAGGGAGTGCATAGGGAGCCCATAGGGAACCCATGGGGAACCTGTAAGAAACCCATGGGGAACCCCTAGGGAACCCATGGGGAGCCCATAAGAAACCCATAGAGAGCCCATAAAGAACCCATAAGAAACCCATAGGGAATCCATGGGGAGCACATGGGGAACCCATAAGGAACCCTATAGGGAACCCATAGGGAGCCCATAGGAAATCCATAGGGAACCCATAAGAAACCCATAAGAAACCCATAGGAAACCCATGCGGAGCCCATAGAAAACCCATAAGAAACCTATAGGGAACCCATGGGGAACCCATAAGAAACCTATAGGGAACCCATGGGGAGCCCATAGGGAACCCATGGGGAACCCATAGGGAATCCATAGGGAGCCCATAAGGAGCCCATACGGAACCCATAGGGAACCCATAAGAAACTCATAGAGAACCCATAGGGAACCCATAAGAAACCCATAGGGAGCCCATAGGGAACCCATAGGGGACCCATAAGGAACCCATAGGGAACCCGCAGAGACCCCATAGGGAGCCAATAGGAGCCCCACAGCACCGGGATGTGGGGCTCACGTATTTCTCGAGGTACAAGGTGGGGTTGTCCATGAGCGCCTTCACCATGCGCATGAGGTAGATGAGCAGGGCCAGGTTGTTCTGCACCACATTGACCCGCACCTGTGGGGCAGCAGCACTGGGGTCACCCCATGGGGGTCCCGCTGCCGTGGGGCAGGCACCCCCCCCACTGCCCCATAGCGCGGAGCTCACCCCCTCCGAGATGAAGGTGCTGAAGCGCGGCAGCATCTGGTAGAGGCCCGGGTCGGTGGCGATGCTCTGCAGGGCCTCCTGCGGGCACGAGGCCACGGGGATGGGCACAGAGCAGCCGTTGGTGGAGCACTGGGGTGCCGGGGGGGGATGGGGGTCCCCGGTTATGGGGGTGCACTCACGGCTCGCTTGGCCTCGCAGGAGCCCACGCAGGCCTCGGTGATCTCCTTGTAGTAAAGCTGCTGCTCCACCGAGAGCTCGTGCACGCTGCGGGGCTTGAGGCGCACGGGGGCCCCCTCCAGCAACGGGGACTTCTTCTCCTTGCCTGTGGGTGCAGGGGAGCAGAGCCCTGCAGGTGCCGCATGGGGACCCCAGGGGCACCCCACAGACACCCCATAAACACCTCATAGACACCCCAGGGGCACCGCACAGACACCCCATAAACACACGACAGACACCCCATAGACACCGTATAAACACCCCATGGGCACCCCATGGGCACCCCATAGACACCCCAGGGGCATCCCATAGACACCCCATGGGCACCCCACAGACACCCCATAAACACCTCATAGACACCCTAGGGGCACCCCACAGACACCCCATAGGCCCGCTACAGACACCCCATAAACACACGACAGACACCCCATAGACACCGTATAAACACCCCATGGGCACTCCAGGGGCACCCCATAGACACCCCATAGACACCCCAGGGGCATCCCATAGACACCCCATGGGCACCCCACAGACACCCCATGGGCACACCACAGACCCCCATGGGCACCCCACAGACACCCCATGGGCACACCACAGACCCCCATGGGTGCCCCATAGACACCCCATGGGCACACCACAGACCCCCATGGGTGCCCCATAGACACCCCATGGGCACCCCACAGACCCCCATGGGTGCCCCATAGACACCCCATGGGCGCCCACCTTTGCCATCCACGGTGGCCACGCTTTGGCCTTTGCCCTTCAGGGCCCCATCCTCCTCCTGCCCTGGCTTGGTTGACTTGAGGGGCTCGGTGGCCTCCGCCTTCTGCTGCTCCTTGGGGGCTATGGGGGGCAAAGGGGGTTGGGGGGCACAAAGGGGGTTGGGGGGCACAAAGGGGGTTGGGGGGCACAAAGGGGTTGGGGGGCACAAAGGGGTTGGGGGGCACAAAGGGGGTTGGGGGGCACAAAGGGGGTTGGGGGGCACAAAGGGGGTTGGGGGACACAAAGGGGTTGGGGGGCACAAAGAGGTTGGGGGGCACAAAGGGGTTGGGGGGCACAAAGAGGTTGGGGGGCACAAAGGGGGTTGGGGGGCACAAAGGGGGTTGGGGGGCACAAAGGGGGTTGGGGGGCACAAAGGGGGTTGGGGGGCAAAGGGGGTTGGGGGGCACAAAGGGGGTTGGGGGGCACAAAGAGGGTTGGGGGGCACAAAGGGGGTTGGGGGGCACAAAAAGGGTTGGGGGGCCCCCAAAGGAGGAGGAGGATGTGGGGGGGTCACGCACCAGGAGGGGGGTTCTCAGGGATGGCGGGCTGCACCCCCTCAATACTGAGCCAGTGAGCTGGGGAGAGAGAAGAAAAGGTGAGGCCACCCAGAGCCACCCCAAAATCAGCCCAGATCAGCCCAAACTACCCCAAAATCAGCACAAACCACCCCAAAATCAGTGATCACCCCAAATCAGACCAAACCACCCCAAAATCAGCCCAGATCAGCACAAACTACCCCAAAATCAGCGCAAACAACCCCAAAATCAGCCCAGATCAGCCCAAACTACCCCAAAATCACCACAAACCACCCCAAAATCAGTGATCACCCCAGATCAGCCCAAACCACCCCAAAATCAGCCCAGATCAGCACAAACTACCCCAAAATCAGCGTAAACCACCCCAAAATCAGGGTAGATCACCCCAAATCAGCCCAAACCACCCCAAAATCAGCCCAGATCAGCCCAAACTACCCCAAAATCAGTGCAAACCACCCCAAAATCAGACCAAATCACCCCAAATCAGCTCAAACCACCCCAAAATCAGCCCAGATCAGCCCAAATCAGTGCAAACCACCCCAAAATGAGCCTAAACTACCCCAAAATCAGCCTAGACAACCCCAAAACCACACCAAATCACCCCAAATCAGTGCAAACTACAAGACCAGTGCAAACCACCCCAAAATGAGACCGAATCACCCCAAACCACCCCCAAATCAGCCCCAAACCCCCCCCAAGCGCCGCCCCCGCTCGCTCACCCTTGACGCAGACGTCGAGCGGGACGCGGGGCAGGGGGGTGTTGATGATGTCGCTCAGCTCCACCTCCTTCTCCTCATAGAAGTAAAGCTCGCGGCCGCCGCCGCTGGCGAAGCGGAACGGGAGGAACTCCTGGGCCTGGAACCCGTACAGGGGCTGCGGGACCGGAACCGGAAACGGAACCGGGGGTCAGGGGCACCCCCGAGCGGCCCCGTTCACGGCGGGACGGGGACGGGGGGGTTCCGGGAGCCACCTCCACGTTCTTCAGCTTCAGCGCCAGGTCCACGTCCCCCGGCGTCAGGCGGCGGCGCTTGCCCATGTGCATGAACTTGAGCGCGTCCTATGGGGCAGCCCCAGAGAGAACGGGTCTAAAGGGGGGGTTTGTGCCCCATATCCCATTCCCCCCCCTCCCAAATCCATGGGACCAAAGGGGGTCCCCGTCCCCCGCCCCCCCCCCCTCCGTTCACCCCAATGGATCCGCCCCGTACCTGCGCGATCTCCTTGAGGCGGTAGCTCGCCTCCTCGGCCAGCAGCTGGCAGCTCTCCTCCGGGACCTGCCCGATGCCCATGGCCTCCGCCATCACCTTCATGGACTCGGCGGGCAGCAGCGTGTGGCTCAGCTTCAGCTTCTTCTCCTCCGCCATCTTCCTCCTTCCCCTCACGGCGCCGCCATCGCGGAGAGACCCCTCAGCTCCGCCGCCATCTTGGCTTCTCCATCACCTCAGCGACAGGCCCTGCCCGGGTAAAGTGGAGGGGGATCATTTCGCCCTTCTCTCACCCGCGTTAACACTTCCCGTATGCCTTGGAAACGGGCTATCGCGATTCACAATCGCGACATGGGAGCAAATCGGCGCTGGAGGATGGCGGGAGGAGGGAATGAGGCGTGATCACTATCATCCTGTCAGGACCTGCGCGGCGCCTGCCACGCTGCCGTAAAGCCGCCATTTCCCCCCCCCTTGGCGTGAAACGCTGTGAGCCACACTGCCGCAAAGCTAGGCGGGATCTTCGCGTCATTGCGGTAAATTGCCCGAGTCACACGAGTGTCGCAAAGAGCCGTGTCGTAAAGCGCGGCGGGAGATGGCGGCCGTGGTGCAGCCGTGGGTCGGGCCGGGGCTGCCCCGGGACTGGGCCGAGGAGCCCGTCAGCACCGGCGTGAGCGGCTATGGGGCGGCTATGGGGCCGGGCGGGGGGGGCATGGGGCTGAACGGAGCGGTTATGGAGCTGGGGGGGGGCGGTTACGGGGTTGAATGGGGCAGCTCTGGGGCTGAAAGAGCCCCTTTGGGGCATTTATCGGGCAGAGCGGGGTGGTTATGGGTCTAAATGGGGCAGTTATGGGGCTGGAGGGTGGTTGTGGGTTAGGGAGTGCTGTTATGGGGCATGTATGGGGCTGGAAGAGCCCCTTTGGGGGGCAGTTATGGGTCTGGGTGGGTGGTTATGGGTCTGGGGGGGCAATTATGGGTCTGAATATGCAGTTACAGGTCGGGGGGTGCAGTTGTGGGGCAGGAAGAGCCCTTTTGGGGGGCAGTTATGGGGCTGGGGGGTAGTTATGGGTCTGGATGTGCAGTTATGGGTCGGGGGTGCAGTTATGGGGCAGCTATGGGGCTGGATGTGCAGTTATGGCACAGCTGTGGGGCTGGAAGAGTCACTTTGGGGTCAGTTATGGGTCAGGGGCTGCAGTTATGGGGCAGTTGTGGGGCTGGATGTGCAGTTATGGGGCAGTTGTGGGGCTGGAAGAGCCCCTTTGGGGCCAGTTATGGGTCAGGGGGTGCAGTTATGGGGCAGAGGTGCCACTGCCCCCCCACCCTCCCCCCCAGACCACCATCATGGCGGCCGAGTTTGACGGCGGCGTCATCATCGGGGCCGATTCCCGCACCACGACCGGGTGAGCTTCGGTGGCGCCGTTACCGCGACGACCCCGCGATGACGTCACCGTGACGTCACCACTGACGTCATCGCTGCCGTCACCGCCAGGTCCTACATAGCCAATCGCGTGACGGACAAACTGACCCCCATCCACGACCGCATCTTCTGCTGCCGCTCGGGCTCGGCTGCCGACACCCAGGCCGTGGCTGAGGCCGTCGCCTATCAGCTCGCCTTCCATAGGCACGTGTGGGGCGCTATGGGGCTGCTGTGGGGCAGGGCTGGCTATGGGGCTCATGGCTGCTCTGCCCCATAGCGTGGAGCTGGAGGAGCCGCCGCGGGTGCGCACGGCCGCGCGCCTCTTCCAGCAGACGTGTTACCGGTACCGCGAGGAGCTCAGCGCCGGCGTCATCGTGGCCGGCTGGGACCCACGGCGAGGGGGGCAGGTGAGGACTGACCCATAGCAAGGCCCTCGGACCCATAGCAAGGCCCTCGGACCCATAGCGGGGCCCTCGGACCCATATTGGGCTCTTTGCCCCTTTCAAGTGTACACTGCACCGATGAAGCACCCCCCTGTCCGAGCCCCAGCCCCATAACCGTGTATCCCAGCCCCATAACTGCCCACCCCACCCCATAACCCCCTGTCCCAGCCCCATAAGCACCCGTCCCAGCCCCATAAACACCCATCCCAGCCCCATAGCTCCCTGTCCCAGCCCCATAACTGCCCTCCCAGCCCCATAACTGCCTACCCCACCCCATACCCCCTATCCCAGCCCCATAACTACTCATCCCAGGCCCATCTCCATGTATCCCAGCCCCATAACCCCCAGCCCCATCCCCATCCCCACATACCCCAGCCCCACAGCCCCCCCCAGCCGCCCCCCAGGCAGCCCCCCTGTGCCGCAGGTGTACGTGGTGCCGCTGGGGGGGCTGCTCCTGCGCCAGCCGCTGGCCGTGGGCGGCTCCGGCAGCTCCTACGTCTACGGCTTCCTGGACGCAGCCTTCAGGCCCGGGCTGAGCCGAGCCCAGTGCCAGGAGCTGGTGACGCGCGGTGAGGGCAGGGGGGGTATGGGGCTATGGGGCTATGGGGGGCTATGGCGGGTATGGGGGGCTATGGGGCTATGGGGGGCTATGGCGGGTATGGGGCTATGGGGGGCTATGGGGCTGGCTTAGGGCTATGGGGCTGGTTTGGGGCTGGTTTGAGGTATTTTGGGGCTCTTTAAGGGTATTTTGGAGCGATTTGGGGCTGGTTTGGGGCTATTGGGGGTTATTTTGGGGCTGTTTAAGGTTATTTTGGGCTGGTTTGAGATATTTGGGGCTATTTTGGGCTGGTTTGGGGCTATTGGGGACTTGTTGAGGTCATTTTGGGCTGGTTTGAGGTATTTTGGGGCTCTTTAAGGGTATTTTGGGGCAGTTCGAGGTGGTTTTGGGGCTGGCTTGGGGCTCTTTAAGGCTGTTGGGGCTGTTCCAGGCTCTGAGCGCCTCTCCCCCCCCCGCAGCGCTGGCGCTGGCCATGGCCCGGGACGGCTCCAGCGGGGGGGTGCTGCGCTTGGCGGCCATTACAGCGGAGGGAGTGGAGCGCAGCGTGCTCAAGGGGGCGGAGCTTCCGGGGGGGGACGGCGGGCCTCTGCACTGAGCGGGGGGGAGACCCCGCGGCGGGCTGAGGCGGAGCCGGCCGGAGCGGGAATTAAAGGTGGTGCGGAGGAAACGAGGCCTTTTTGGGGTGAAAAAGGGCGATTTTGGGGGTGGGAATGATGGGAGGTTGTGGGTAAGGGGCGTTTGTTGGGATAAACCGTGTTTTGGGGGGAGGAGGAGGGCGCATATTGGGCTGGAAAAGCCCGATTTGGGGCAAAAAAAAGCCACAGGTTGGGTGGGGAAAAACCTCAATTTAGGGTGGAAAAACCTCCATTTTGGGGGTAAAAATGCATATTTTGAGTGAAAAAACATTTAAGGGGTAAAAAGGGGCAATTTTGGGTGGAAAACCTGCGTTTTGGGGACATTTAAGGGTGAGTTTGTGGTGTGGGCCCAATATGGCAGCCTCCATACTCTGTCACGTGATACGCACCGCACGTGATTGGCAGCGCGAAGCCGTGCTCGCTCTACTGGCCCCATGGACTTCCCCCCCCCCATGACCCTGCTATGGGGCAGCCCCAGCCATGGGGCACCCCCCAACCCCGCTGCTGCAGTGACAATGAAATCATCCATGAAGCACTTTATGGGGTCCCCATAGGGACAGAGAAACAACACCCCCCCCCAGCCCCATAGAGCCAAGGAGCCCTCTCCCAGAGCTATGGGGCTGCCCCATAACCGCTATCCATCCAAAGGGACACCCCCCCCCAGAGCTATAGGGCTGCTCCACAGCCCAAGGGGGCGGACACCACTGGGTCTATGGGGCTGCCCCATAGATTCCGTGGGTCAGGCGCTGAGCACCAGGCGCTGGTACCACTTGTTCATCTGCTCGAGGAAGATGAAGGTCAGCACCGTGTGGGGCCCGAGCCGAGCGTAGTAGGGGGTGAAGCCCTTCCAAAGGCTGAAGAAGCCCTCGTAGCGAATGACCTTGAGCAGCACGTCCTGGGGGGCAGAGTTAGGGGGAGACCCCCATGTGGGACTATGGCGGTAACCCCAATGTGGGTCTATGGGGGACACCAGTGTGGGTCTGTGGGGGGGAGCCCAATGTGGGTCTATGGTAGTGACCCCAATGTGGATCTATGAGGGTGACCACAATGTGCATCTATGGGGGACACCAATGTGGGTCTATGGCGGTGACCCCAATGTGGGTCTATGGGGGGCATTAATGGGGGAGACACTTAAACAGAGGGGGTGCCCCCACTCACCAGCCCCCCGCGGTACTCAGGCTTCCCATCAATGGTCCGCATGTTCTGGATGCTGTTGGGGGGCAAAGAGGCCAATGTGTGTGGGGGGGAGACACCCCAAAACCAGACCCCCCCCATTAACACAACATGGGGGGGGGTGCTCATTAGCACTAATGACCCACCGGGTCTTAACGATGTCCACGGGCATGGAGGCGGCGGTGGTGACCAGGCCGCTGATCATGCTGGCGCTGAAGTGGCACAGGATGTCATCCTGGAAGCGGCCTGCAACCCCCCCCAAACACAGTGAGAATCTATGGGGCAGCCCCATAGAATCCATAGGGCTGCCCCATAGCCCCCCCAACTCACCTGAATCCAGCAGGAACTGCTTGGATTGGGAATACGAGGCCAATTGGGCCGCGTTGACCACGACGGCGCGAGCCATGGTGGGGATGCAGCCCTGGGTAACGGGGGACAAAGTGGGTTTGGGGTCTCCCTGGTACCCACAGACCCCATGGAGCACCCCATAACCCTCCCCATTGTGGGGTCCTCCCTCTTCTATGCCATTGGGAGGGGGTCTATAGGGGGTCCCTATGGGTCTCCATGGGTCCCTATGGGTTTCTATGGGGTCTCTATGGGTCCCTATGGGGCTCACCCTCCAGAGGGTCGTCGGGCCCTCCTCCCGCACCATCCGCACGAGGGCGTCGAACACGTTGCGGTACCCGCGGCGCTCGGCAGGGGGCAGCCTGGAGCGAACCAATCGGATCTATGGGGCTGCCCCACGGCTCTATGGGGCTGCCCCACAGATCTATGGGGTCGGTGCCCACCTCCCGTCCGCCGTCATCCGGATGAGCGCCACCTCGGCCGGGGTCCCCACGAAGGCGCCGGCAGCACCCGCGCTCATCCCCACAGCGGCCTTGGCCAGGAACGGGGGGGGGGTCCCGTCGGGGGCCCCCAGCAGCTCCAGCCCCACACTATAGACCCCCAAGCGCGTGGTGGTGTAGGTGGCCTGGCGCAGCAGCCCCGCGGACAGCCTATGGGGGGGCAGAACGGCAGTGACGTCATCGATGATGTCATCAGCATCTTCATTCATCATCCATCTTCACCATCATTATCGACATCCATCGTCATCATCATTATCCATCCTCCATCATTTCCATCATCTTCATCATCTATCATCTTTATCATCATTACCCATCATCATCATCACCAGTATCCATTATCATCTTCATCATCATCCATTCTCCATCATCTTCATTCAACATCATCATCATCACCCACCATCATCATCACCCACCATCACCCACCATCACCCATCATCATCACCCACCATCATCATCCTCTTCATCCCCATCCCCTCCACCCCACCTACAACAGCACCAGGAACCCAAAACAGCTCCAAGAGCACCCAAAACTGACCCCAAAACCCCCAAAAGTGACCCAAAACCTGACCCCAGCTGCCCCCACCCAGCTCCTGGCTCCAGCTTTGGGTGCCCAGGGCTGGTTTTGGGTGCCCCAAACCCCTTTTTGGCTGCCCCAAGCCCATTTTTGGGTGCCCCAAACCCATTTCTGGGGTCCTGGTTCCATTTCTGCCCTCCCCAGGGGTGTTTTTGGCTCCCCGAACCTGGTGCTGGGGCTCCCATACCCATACCCATACCCGTACCCATCCCCATACCCGTACCCGTACCCATCCCCATACCCCATACCCATACCCATACCCATACCCCATACCCATACCCATACCCATACCCATCCCCATACCCCATACCCATCCCCATACCCATACCCATACCCCATACCCATACCCATACCCATCCCCATACCCATACCCATACCCATACCCATACCCCATACCCATACCCATACCCATACCCATACCCATACCCATCCCCATACCCCATACCCATACCCATACCCATACCCATACCCCATACCCATACCCATACCCATCCCCATACCCATACCCATACCCATCCCCATACCCATACCCATCCCCATACCCATACCCATACCCATACCCATACCCCATACCCATACCCATACCCCATACCCATACCCATACCCATACCCATACCCATCCCCATACCCATACCCATACCCATACCCTATATCCCATACCTATACCCATACCCATCCCCGTACCCGTACCCATCCCCATACGGGTCCCCGGCCCCGTACCCGGTGTAGACCCCGCGCAGGCCCTCGTGGCGCAGGATGGAGCCCAGCGCGTGCAGGCTCGTCCGGTACTCGCGGGCCTTGGCCCCCTCCCCGCTCAGCTGCATCCGGTTCTTGACCAGGTCCAGGGGCTGCACGAACACCGTGGCCCCCATCCTGCACCGGGGACAGGGGGTGGGGGGGGTCTGAAGGGGTTTGGGGGGCACTAAAGGGGGTTTGAAGGGGTTAAAGGGGTTTGGAGTCCTAAGGGGTTTTGGGGGGGTATTTGGAGGGGTTTTGGGGGCACAGGATGGGGTCTGGGGGGGTCTGAAGGAGTTTTAGTGGGCACTAAAGGGGGTTTGAAGGGGTTAAAGGGGTTTGGAGTCCTAAGGGGGTTTTGGGGGGGGGATTTGGAGGGGTTTTGGGGGCACAGGATGGGGTCTGGGGGATCTGAAGGGGTTTTAGGGGGCACTAAAGGGGGTTTGAAGGGGTTAAAGGGGTTTGGGGGGTGTTCAAGGTGTTTTAGGGAGCACAGGATGTGGTTTGGGGGTCCTAAAGGGGTTAAGGGGGCAATAAAGGGGGTTTTGATGGGGTTAAAGGGGTTTTGGGGTGAATTGAGGTGGATTTGGGGGGGGCTCAAGGGGTTAAGGGGGCAGTAAAGGGGGTTTTAATAGGGTTAAAGGGGGCTTGGGTGGGTTAAAGGGGTTTTGGGGTGAATTGAGGTGGACTGGGGGGGGCTCAAGGGGTTAAGGGGGCAGTAAAGGGGGTTTTATGGGGTTAAAGAGGTTTTGGGGTGAATTGAGGTGGATTTGGGGGGGCTCAAGGGCTTAAGGGGCCAGTAAAGGAGGTTTTAATGGGGTTAAAGGGGTTTTGGGGTCCTGATGGGCTTGGGGGGGGTTCTTAAGGGGGTTTTTGGGGTCACACGACGGGGTTTGGGGGGGTTGAGGGTTTAAAGGGGTTTTGGGGGGTCCGAAGGGTTCAATGGGGGGGGTTAAAGGGGGTTGGGTCTCACGATGGGGTTTGGGGGGGTTCGGGTCTATGGGGGGGGTTCGCGGTGGCTCTCACCCGGCCAGGCCTCCGAACAGGAACTTCACCCACTTCGGGGAGCTCTTGGGCCTCTCGGCCGCCATGGCCCAGGGGGAGCGGAGGGCACTGGGACCCGGGGGCGTCCCGGGGGGGGTCCGCACCCGCCGCGCCCCAAGGTGACTCCGGCCCGGGGGGGGGGGGCCGGTGGGAGAGAAAGGGGGAGGGTGGCAGTGTGCATGCGCCGCGCGGCTGCGCGCGATGAGGGGGCGTGGCTTGAAGGGGGTGTAACCTATGGGAGGAGCGGAAAGGGGTGCGGGCGTGGCTTATTCTGAGGGGAGAGGGAGGCGTGGCTGCGCTGATGGTATCGCTCCGCCCTCCCGTCTCTCATTGGTGGAATGGGTTTAGGCGGGAAGTTTGCACAGCGCGGATTGGTTGTTGCTTCAGGAGGAGCCGCCCATCCGCAGTCGGAGACCCCCCGCCGCCGCCATGTTGAGGGGCAGGAGCGGGCTCCGGCACCGGTTCAGGTCCTGTCCCCGTCCCCGGGCCGAGCCCTCGGCACCATCCGGAGCGGTTCCGGACCGTCCGAGGGGGGGTCAGGTACGTCCTGGGGCTACAACCGGCACGGCTGCCCCATGGCAGCCCCACAAGTGCTACGAGCAGCGCTGCCAGCCCCATAGCTCATCCGCACAACCCCAGCCAGCCCCACGGCTCCGGTTCCAGGCCCCTCCTCCAACATCCGCCCCCCCCATGGAAGGGGGGGGGAAGGAAGCGTCCCGGCCGCGTCGTTGCCCTTATAAGGCCTCGGTGGCGCCGGAGCCGCTTCCGCCCCACAGGCTGAACTAGGGGGCCTGCCCCACATCACACCCCCCTTCACACACACACACTTCCTGCCCCGCAGTGTAGTGGGGCAGCCCCACAGAGCCCCATTTAAGGAGGCATCCGGGTCCCCCCCAAGTGCTCAGAAGTCGCTCTCCTGCCCCCCAACAGCGGCCTCTTGGAGCTGTGGGGGGGTTGGGAGGCCGCAGCCCTGCCCCATAGCGGACTTTGCCCCCCCCGCCCCATCCCGGGTGTGGTGCAGCACCTTGGACCCGGGCGTTCCCCACCCCACACGTACACAGCGGGCCTGCCCCACACATCCTGCCCCACAGCGGCTCCCCACGAGGCGTCTTTATTGCTGCCCGCAGCGGGGGGGGGTGTGTGTGTAAAAGGTGGGAGGAGGGGGGGGATTAGGTCCTGAAGGTCCTGGTGGTCCCTGGCAGGTCCTGGTGGTCCCGGGGGGGGTCACTTGTGGGTCCCGGGGGGTCACTTGTGGGGCAGGGGGCACTTGTGGGGCGCTCAGTACTGCGAGCGCCGCAGGTGGTTGGCCATGTCGTAGCACTTCTTGTTGACGCACCCGCCGTGGACGCCCTCCTTGCCCATGGCCAACACGATGGCTGCAGGAGGGGGTGGATCAGTGGGGCTGCCCCATAGCCAGCCCCACACATCCCCCCCAATGGGTCACCCCATAGTGCGGAGAACCCCCTGTGTAGAGCTAATTCGGGGGGGGGGTAAATCCATGGGGGACTTGGGGGTCAGGATAGAGGTGCCATAGGGTCACATTGGGGTGCTGGGGGTGGGTGCCATGGGGCATTCCATAGGGGTGCAAAGGGGTGATGGGAGATTCCATAGGGTCACATAAGGGTGGGAAGGGGTGACATGAGGTCATGGGGGGGCTTCCATAGGGTCTTAATAGGGGTGCTGGGGGGGTTCCATATGGTCCCATAGAGGTGCTGGGAGTTCCTATAGGGATCCGAAGGGGTGACATGAGGTGACAGGCAGGGGGTTCCATAAGGTCACATGGGGATGACAGGAGGGTTCCAGAGGGTCGCATAGGGACATGAAAGGGTGACAGGGAGATTCCATAGGGGTGCTATGGGGGTCTTATCGGGCGCTATGGGGTGATGGGCGTTCCATAGGATGCTATGGGGCGATGGGGGTCCCATTGGGCACTATGGGGGTCCCATAGGGCGCTCTGGGTGACTCACTCTTGTTGGTGATGGCAGCAGTGATGTTGACGGTGGGGGTGCCGGGCGCCCCCCCCTTGCTGCGCAGGTCCATGCTGTGCTCGCCCTCCACCAGCAGCGAGTCCCGGATCACGGAGCAGCGCAGCCCCCCCAGCGTCAGCCCCGACACCAGCAGCGGCCCCCGCTCGGGGTTCACCAGCGCCTGCACCTCCGCCGCCTGCAGACCCCCCCATGGACACCAATGGATCATTCCGGAGCCGTCCCCCCGTGGGACCCACAGTGAGGTATGGGGGGACAGCATACATACACCTAGAACCCCCCCCCATGGACACCAATGGATCATTCCAGAGCTGCCCCCCCCGTGGGACCCACAGTGAGGTATGGGGGGACAGGATACATACACCTAGAACCCCCCCCCATGGACACCAATGGATCATTCCAGAGCCACCGCCCCCCGTGGGACCCACAGTGAGGTATGGGGGGACAGGATACATACACCTAGAACCCCCCCCCATGGACACCAATGCATCATCCCAGAGCCCCCCCCCCCGTGGGACCCACAGTGAGGTATGGGGGGACAGCATACATACACCTAGACCCCCCCCCATGGGCACCAATGGATCATCCCAGAGCCCCCCCCCCGTGGGACCCACAGTGAGGTATGGGGGGACAGGATACATACACCTAGACACCCCCCCATGGACACCTCATGGGTCACTCCATGGCCCCCACAGAGTGCAATGGGGAACAGGTCAACCCAGGACCCCTCACATCATGGACCCCAATGCATCACCCCATAACCTCCCCCCATGGGCCCTGCAGTGAGTAATGGGGCCCAGGCCACCCCTCCCCATACCCCCCATGAACACCAATGGATCACCCCATAACCCCCACAGGAAGCACTTGGGGACAGCTCACCCGTAACCCCACCACAGACCCGTAAAGGAAGTCCCGTCCCCCCCCATTGAAGTGCCCCTGCCCCATAGACCCCCATAACCCCAATGTGGAGACCCGCCATTACCCTCACAAATAACCCCCTAAATGGACCTTCCCCCTGCTTAACCCCAACCCCTCCCCCCCACATTTCCTCCCCCCTCCCCCCATTTCCGGGGGGGGTTTCAGGCATCCGGGGACCAGGAAATGGTGGGGGGAGGAAGGGGGAGGGGGTTTCGCCTGCCCTCCCCCACAGGAAGCCCCGCGGCCGCCCTTCCCCCACGGGGAAGTGGCACATTCCGCACATTTTTATTTCCTTTTTTCACTTAAATCTTAAAATTTCTCGTATTTTTCATCATTTAAATTGGGGCTCCCCCCGTGCCGCCCCCCCCCGATTGCGGGGGGGCCCCAGAGAGTGACATGGGGGGGGGCCACAGGGGTTTCCCCCTTCCTAAAGCCATGACAGGGGGGCTTTAGGACCCAGTGGACACCTGGAGCCTCCCATTAAGCGATATAGGAGGGGGGCAGTGAGGGTCTCCCCATCAAGTGATATAGAGAGGTTCTATAGGGTCCCCCATATCCTGTATGGGAAGGGGGTTCAGGACCCCCCTATGTCCAACACAAGGAAAGTTTAGGACTCCCCCCCCATAAACTCAATTAATGGGGGGGCCTTTAGGACACTATGGACTCTCGGATGATACCATTACACCACACAGGGGTGTCCATAGGGATGCCCCCCCCCCTCCCAGCCCCCATAACCTCCCATTATTGAGGGGGTGCTTCAGGACCATGCGGACTCCTGGGTCATCCCATTACCCCACAGAGGGGTGTCCACAGGGGTCCCCCCTTCCCAGCACCTATTAACCCTATTGTCGGGGGGGGTTTAGGACCCCGCAGCCACCCGCTGCCCCCCCCCCCCGGCTTCCTCCCCATGGGCGGGGCCGCTCCACGCTGGCAGCTCCCGCGTTCTTCTCCCTTTTTTGTCCCTCCTCGGCCCCCGTCGCCCATATAGGGGCGGAGCCAACCGGGGCTGTAGGGCGGGAAACCCCCCCCTCCTTCCCCTTCTGTCGCGATAGCGAGCCCTTACCGTGATATTAGCGAAGGTCTTGCCGGGGGCCGCGGCCCACACGGCGGGGGTATCGCGATAGCCGACGATCGCGGCGTCCTGGCAGGTGCCGTCCGCCAGCAGCGTGTCCACGTACGGGGCCCACCCGCTCATGGCGGCGGCGGCGGCGGGAAAAGAGGCGGGGGGCGTGGCCTGGCGGGCAGAGGAGGCGTGGCCTGGTGGACGGAGGGGGCGTGGCCTCGGCTCCTCTTCCAACCCCCACGCCTGCGCAGTGCGGGGCGGCGGCAGGGATTGGCCCGGCGGTGGCGGGGCCGCGCGCGGCGCCTTTCATAGGGGAGCTCGCGGAGGGGGCGGGGCGTCAGGAATAGGGGGCGGGGCTTGGCGTGGCGGGAAACGCCCCTCGCGCCGGGCCGCTGGAACGGAGCTGGGGGGGGCTGGGGGCAGCGAGATATCGCGACCCCTTCCCTGTTATCGTGACCCCCCCCCTTCTCCCGACCCCAACCAAGCGGGCGGTAAAGGCCCCCCCCATCCCGCTGGGGGGAAATGCCCCTCCCCCACGCTGGGAATAAACCCAAACCCCCCACAATGTGATGGGACCCCCCCGTCGGAATGGGAGGGAGCACTTGGGGGGTGGAGAGCCCAATGTGTGGGTCTGAGGGGGGTCAATGGGGGGGGTGGATGTGGGTCTGGGGAGGGGGAGCCCCGCTCCCCCCCCCACCGCGTGTCTCGCGCTCTCCCGCGGTGGGGGAGGGGCGGCGGTTTCACTTCCTGCCCCGCGGTGGGGGTAGGGGCGGGAGGCTTGGGGGGGGGGCGGGGGTACGGGCGCGACCCCCGCCATGGAGCGGGGGAGGGGTTTGGGGAGGATGGGGCTGCCCCTCCCCCTACTGGTGGGGGGAAGTGGTCAGAGCCGCCGCCCCTCCCCCTCTATAGGGTGCTGTGAGGCCCGTGTAAAGCTGAGCACTCCCCATAGGGCGCCATGGGTCAACCCTCCCCCCCCCTCCGTGAACCCCATAGTGTGAGACCCCCCCCCCACGAGACCCATAGCTCTGAACCCCCCATAACCTGTGGGTCCCACATGGTACATCCCCCATGTGCCCCATAGAACCCCCCCTACCCCCTCCTTGTCCCCCAACAGGCTCAAGGGAGCATCACTTGATGTCGAACCCCCCAACAGACCAGGTAAGATGGGGGGGGATGGCCATGGAGCACCCCATTCCCTTTTGGGGGGGGGGGATTACACCAACCCCCCCCATAAAACACTCTGGAACACAATGACGCCCAATTAATTGTTATTGGGGGGGGTCCCCCACAACTCACACAATGGGGGGGACACGGGACCCTTATAATACCCCCCCCCAGTCACAGCGGGGCCCCCCCTGCACCCCCCTCGTCCCCCCCCTGCCGCAGCCGCTTCTTGGCCCGGATCTCGTTCATGGCCTCCTCGATGGAGCGCGTATCCCGCTTGTTGGCCACTGGCACTGGGGGGGGGGAACCGGGTCAGCACCCAAAGGGCACCCCCAAGCCCCCCCAAAGGGGACCCCCATGTCCCCATCCACACCCACATTCCCCCATAGGGAACTCCAGTGTCCCCATCCCCTCCCATAGCCCTCTATACAGGACCCCAGTGTCTGGGTGCCCCCCCTATGATGGACCCAATGGTTCCAGTGTCCGCTACACCCCCCCCATAGGGAACCCCGGTGCCCCCCTGATCCCTTTAATGGGACCTTTGTATCCCCAAGACCCCCATAAAGGGGTCCCTAGTGTCTCCATACCTCACACCCCCATGGACAGAAGACCCCAGTGCCCCCAACCCCCCTCTAGTGGACCCCAGTTCTCCCAAATCCCCCCCTTATGGGACCTCAGTGCCCCCAAACCCCCATAGGGCACCCCAGTCAACCCCATATCCCATGTAAAGGACCCCAGTGCCCCCCCCCACGCCCCCATTGGCTGCCGCTGGCCCCGCCCCTCACCACAGCCATAGGCCTTATTGGCCTCCATGGTGCGGGCGGCAGCTTTGGCAGCCTCGCAGCCAATCAGGTGCCTGTATTTGTCCTTGTAATCGGTGGGCGGACCCGGGGGGGTAGGGCCCCGCTCAAGCTCCTCCTCCTCCTGCTGAGCCGCGAGTTCCTATTGGGTGACAGAGACAGCAGGGTAAGCCACGCCCCTTCTTGCCCCTCCCATTGGCTTGCAGCCCCGCCTACCCGTAGGCGCCGCCGCTCTTCCGCCCGTGCCGGGTCCCACTCCTCCCCCCGCCGGTAGGCCTCGAGCTCCTCGTCCGACGGCGCGAACTCCTGTGGGGCGGGAAAGGGGGTTAGCCACGCCCCCTCGGCGGCAAACCACGCCCCCTTCCCCCTTTATGACCTTCTTGAAGACCATAACGTAGCGACTGTCCTCATCATCCCCGAAGGAGAAGGATGTGAGCCCGGCCACCTCCGCCACGTCGTGCCTGGGGGGGACACACACAGACGTAACAGCCCCCCCTCCCCACCATTGTACTCAGTGTCCCCCCCCATGTCCCCATTGTGTCCCCTCACAGGATGCTCCTCTCGATCTTGTTCATGGGCTGGAAGCGGCGCCGCGGCTCCCCGGTGGCCTGGATGAACTGGGACACCTCCTGCTCCATCTGGGGGTTGGTGGGGGGGGGGATCCACACATCAAGGGGGGGATCCCCCAAGTGTGTGGGGACCCCCCAAGGGACAATCAACACCCACTCACCCTCTTCCTAAACTCAACTTTCTGGCGCTTCTCCTGTTCCTGCAGCTTCTTCACGCGAGCGGCTTGTTCTGGAGAGGGGGGAAAGGGGGCTCAGACCCCCCACCAATGACCCACATCTATGGGGCACGGAGCGGAGCCATAGGAGCAGTAAGTAACGTTTATAATAAACAGCCTTATAATAAAGGGCAGGGGGCGGAGCCACGTGTCAATCACAGCACTGGGGGTGTGGCCAGTCATGCCCCACAGCCAATCAAATCAGGAGCGGGGCGTGTCCACCAGCGCCTCTTCGCATCCGCAGAGGCAACGCGGGGGCGTGGCCATGCGCAGGGAGGCGTGGTCAGTAACAACCCCGCAGCCAACCAAACACAGCGGGGGCGGGGCCAGGGGCGCCCCACAGTGACCAATCAGAGCGCTCCAGCGGCCCGGCTACGCCTGAGGAGGGGCTGGAGGGAGGGAGGGAGGGAGGTGGGGGGGGGAACTCGGGTCCGGACGCGCCGTTACCGCCCCCCCCCTCCCGGTACCGGTGACCCCCACCCGGTGTCGTCCAACCTCCCCCCCGCTCACCCCGCGCCCGCCGCCGGGCCTCGGCGTCCGCCGCCGCGGGCGGGCGCTCCATGGTGCTGAGGATTGACCCGAGCAGGTCCAGCTCCGCCATCTTGCGACGGGGCGGAGCCTGCCGCCGGCGCCGTGCGTAAACCAAGCTTCGGCGGGATTGCGTCAGCGCGCACGCAAGGAGGCGGGGTCTGCGAGGCGGCAAGGGCGTGGCATGCCCTTATAAGGGCACAGAGCGGCGCACGGCTCCTTAAAAGGGCCGCGGTTGTGGCGCCGCGGTTTAAAGAGACCGGAACCCCCAGCCGGAAGCGATTCGCGGGTGTCCGGAATTCCCGGTTCCGGGTGTTTCAGTTCCAAATAAAGGTCCCGGGATCGGGGGGGAGGGGGCCCGGCTGGGAACCCCCTTCTTGTTCTGTCGGGAGGGGCCCAAGGGCGGGTTTGGGGTCCGGGGCTTTTCCCGCCCTGGGGGAGCCGCGGGGAGGGAGGGCGGGAACGTGAGGGAAAAGTGACGGAAAATGAGGGAAAATGAGGAAAACTGAGGGAAAAGTGACGGAAAATGAGGGAAAATGAGGGAAAAGTGAGGGAAAATGAGGGAAAACTGAGGGAAAATGAGTGGAAAGTGAGGGAAAATAAGAGAAGAATAAGGTAAAAGTGACGGAAAATGAAGGAAAAGTGATTGAAAGTGAAGGAAAATTTATGGGAAAACTGAGGAAAAAATGACGGAAAATGAGGGAAAAGTGATGCAAAACTGAGGGCAGACTGAGGGAAAAGTGATGGAAAATGAGGGAAAACGGCAAAATGAGGGAAAACATGGAAAAAAAGGGAAAATGAGGGAAAATGAAGGAAAAGTGAGGGGAAATGAAGGAAAATTTATGGGGAAACTGAGGAAAAAGTGGTTGAAGATGAGGGGAAAATGAAGGAAAAGTGACAGAAAATGAAAAATGAGGGAAAAGTGAGTGAAAATGAGGGAAAAGTGTTGGAAAAAACGGAAAACTGAGGGAAAAAAGGGAAAGTGATGGAAAACGAGGGAAAATTCGTGGAAAATCAGGGAAAACTGGGAAATTGAGGGGAAAATGTGGTAAAAGTAATTGAAAATCAGGAAAAAGGCAGGAAAATAAGGTAGAAGGAGGAAAAAATGAGGGAAAACTGAGGCAAAATTGAGGGAAAATGAGGAAAAAGTGAGGGGGAAGTAATGGAAAATGAAAAAATGAGGGATAGAGTGGGGAAAATGATAGAAAAGTAGGGATGAGGGAAAAGTGAGTGATGATGAGGGGAAAAGAGGGATAATGAGGGAAAAATGAGGAGAAAAAAGGGAAGTTAAGTGATAATGAGAGGAAAATAAGGGAAAAGTTATCGATAGTGAGGGAAAACAGAGAATATAAGGGAAAAGGAGGCACAACGTTGGGATAACGATGGACGATGATACATAGCAATATATAATGATGGATAACAGGGTCCCATCTGTCCCTTTAAGGCTGGGCGTGTCCAGGCGCCGTCCCGCCACGCCCCTTTTTACGTCACCGCCCCCAGGCCCCGCCCCCGAGGCCCGGCCCTGGACGATGCCGGAGCCCGGGGCCCGGGATCGGGTCCGGAACCGGGATCGGGACCGAGATCGGGATCGGGACCGCGATCAGCGCCTGTGGGGCGGGGGGATGACGGCCCGCGGGGCAGGTGAGTGACCAAGGGGGTGGGTTTGGGGGGGTTTAAGGGAGTTTTGGGGGTCCCAAACCCCAATTCCCCCGTCCCGTCCCGTCCGTCCATCGCCTCCAACCCCCCCATAGGCGCTGGGGGGGGGGGGGCGGAATTCCCGGCTTCACGCCAGGGTTATTTATAGGCTTCTCCTTGGGTAAAGGTGTTGAGGGGGGACACATGGGTCCAGTGGGGTCCCCCCTTAATCCGGCCGGGATCCGTGTGCCCATGCGTGTGCCCATGCATCCCCGTATCCCCGGAGCAGGGTGACCATGGCCGGAGCCTCGGTGACCGTGGCCGTCCGGGTCCGGCCCTTCAACGCCCGCGAGACCCAGCGGCAGGCCAAGTGCGTGATCCAGATGTGCGGCAACACCACGTGTGAGTGACCCCCATTCCCAGACACCCCCATTCCCACACCCCCCCCCCCCTTCCCGTTTTCCCTGGCCACCGGCCGGGAACAGCAGCTGCCGCCGGGCTAAAGATAGCGGCAGGATGACAACAAGGGGCGGGGGGGTGACACAGGGGACATGTGACACCCCTGGGTCACTGTGACCCCCCCGTGTCCCCGTGTGACCCCCCCATGTCCCCCCGTATCCCTGTGTACCCCCATATCCACATCCCCTTATCCCATGTCCCCATCTCCCCCCAGGCATCACCAACCCCAAACTCCCCAATGACAGCACCAAGAGCTTCACCTTCGACTACTCCTTCTGGTCCCACACCTCGGTGGGTACCGGGGCTTGTTTTGGGGCACAAGAGGCCTCTTCTGGGGCTGTTTTGGGGCTGGTTTGGGGTTGTTTTGGGGCTGTTCCAGGGGTGTTTTGGGGTTGTTTCAGGGCTCTCTTGGGGTTGTTTGGGGGCTGTTTTGGTGCTCTTTTGGGACTGTTTGGGGGCTGTTTTGATGCTGTTTTGGGGCTCAATCGGGGCTGTTTTGATGCTGTTTTGGGGCTCAATCGGGGCTGTTTTGATGCTGTTCGGGGCTGTTTTGATGCTGTTTCGGGACTGGTTTGGGGCTGTTTTGGGACTGTTGGGGGGCTGTTTCGGGGCTGTTTTGAGACTGTTTCGGGGTGGTTTTGGGAGTGTTTGGGGGCTGTTTTGATGCTGTTTTGGGACTGTTTCGGGGCTGTTTCGATGCTGTTTTGGGGCTGTTTCGGAGCTGTTTTGGGACTGTTTTGGGGCTGTTTCGATGCTGTTTTGGGGCTGTTTTGGGACTGTTTCGGGGCTGTTTCGATGCTGTTTTGGGACTGTTTGGGGGCTGTTTCGATGCTGTTTTGGGGCTGTTTCGATGCTGTTTTGGGGCTGGTTTGGGACTGTTTGGGGGCTGTTTCGATGCTGTTTTGGGGCAGTTTGGGGGCTGTTTCGCGGCTGTTCGGGGGCTGTTCCAGGGTTTGCTCTGGGGGTCCCTGACGCCGCCGTGCGCAGGAGGAGGACCCGCACTTCGCCTCTCAGCACCGCGTGTACGAGGCCATCGGGGCAGAGCTGCTGCTCCACGCCTTCCGCGGCTACAACGTCTGCGTGCTGGCCTACGGGCAGACCGGCGCCGGCAAGTCCTACACCATGATGGGCCGAGCGGAGCCGGGCCAGCGCGGCCTCATCCCGCAGGTCCGGAGGGGGCTATGGGCGGGGTTTGGGGGGTTTGGGGGTTCCAAGACCCCCCCCTCATCATTCCCCCCCTTTCAGTTCTGTGAGGATCTGTTCGCCCGCGTCGCAAAGGAGGGGTCCCCCGAGGTGTCCTTCTCAGTGGAGGTGAATGAGCCCCCCCATTGGGGGCTTTGGGGGGGCCTCATCTTGCCCAATCCCCCCCAACTTTGGTCCCGTCCATCCCCCCCCACCAGGTCAGTTACATGGAGATCTATTGCGAACGGGTGCGGGACCTGCTCACCCCGCGCGGGAGGGGGGGGCTGCGGGTGCGCGAGCACCCCCTGCTGGGCCCCTACGTGCAGGACCTGTCGCGACTGGCGGTGACGTCCCTCGGCGACATCGCCGAGCTGCTGGACAGCGGCAACAAGGCGCGGTGAGGAGGGGGGGAACACAGGGACACCCCCCTCAATGGACCCCTCCCACCCATTCTGGGGTACCCCCCCCGTTAACACCCCCATTGCATTGACCCGGTCCCAGCACGGTGGCGGCCACGGCCATGAACGCCTCGAGCAGCCGGTCCCATGCGGTGCTGAGCATCGTCCTGAGCCAGCGGCGCCGCGACCCGCTCAGCCAGCTCTGCAGCGAGAAGGTGAGCACCCCGAACGGGCAACAGGGCACCCCAGAATACACCCCAGAGGTACTCCTAAATACAGCCCAAATATAGCCCTAAATGCACCCCAAACACACCCCCAATTCCCCCCAAAACACCCCAAATATACTCCTAAATACAGTCAAAATATAGCCCTAAATACACCCAAAACACACCCCAAATACACCCCAAAACACCCCAAATATACTCCTAAATACAGCCCAAATATAGCCCTAAATACACCCCAAATACAGCCCTAAAACACCCCAAATATACTCCTAAATACAACCAAAATATAGTCCTAAATGCACCCAAAACACCCCAAATATACTCCTAAATACAGCCCAAATATAGCCCTAAATACACCCAAAACACACCCCAAATATAGCCCCAAAACACCCCCAAATAAACCCCAAAACACCCCAAATATACTCCTCCATACAACCCAAATATAGTCCTAAATACACCCAAAACACACCCCAAATACAGCCCCAGAACACCCCAAAATACACCCCAAATACATACCAATACACCCCAAAACACACCCCAAATACGCACCAATACACCCCAAAATACACCCAAAATACACTCCAAACCCCCCAAATACACTCCTAAATGCACCCAAACCACGCCCCAAATACACCCCCAAAACACCCCAAATATGAACCAACGCACCCCAGAATAAACCCCAAACACGCTCTAATGCACCCCAAATACACTCTTAAATACAGCCCTAAATACACCCAAATACAGCCCCCAAACGCATCACTAAATACAGCCTAAATCACCCCAAAGTACACCCCAAAATCCACCCAAATACACCCCTAACTACACCCCGAGTACCCCCAAATCCCCCCCATTGCCCCCCATTGCCCAGGTCAGCCGCATCAGCCTGGTGGACCTGGCTGGCAGCGAACGCGCCGACCACGCCGGGACCTCGGGGATGCGCCTCAAGGTGACACCGGGATGGGGGGGTATCAATGGGGGGGACCCCTCCTGTACCCCCAAACCTCGCCCCATCCTCACCCCCCCCATAGGAGGGTGCCAACATCAACAAGTCCCTGACCACGCTGGGCAAAGTCATCTCCGCCCTGGCCGAGGCGGTGAGTGCACCCCATTTACCCCCATTGCAAACAATTGGGGGACCCCCCCAGCTCCAGGACCCCCCCAGTTATAGGGACCCCCCTTTTCCCTCCCATTTCCTCCTTTATCCCACAGCAAAACAAGAAGAAGAAGCCGGATTTCATCCCCTACCGGGACTCGGTGCTGACCTGGCTGCTGAAGGAGAACCTGGGTGAGGGGTTGGGGGAAGTGGGGGTTGGGGGAAGGTTTTGGGGGGAAGGTTTTAGGGGGGTATTTAAGGTTTTAGGGGGGTACTTAAGGTTTTTGGGGGGTATTTAAGGTTTTAGGGGGTATTTAAGGTTTTAGGGGGGTCCTAACAATAAGGGGGGGTCCTCATTGCCCCCTGCTCCCTCCCATAGGAGGCAATTCCCGCACTGCCATGATCGCGGCGCTGAGCCCGGCTGACATCAACTATGAGGAGACGCTGAGCACGCTGCGGTGAGGGGGGTTTGGGGTATTTTGGGGTGTTTTGGGGTGCTACAGGGTAGTTCGGGGTGGGTTAGAGATGTTTTGGGGATCTGGGCGGATGTAGGGGTGTTTGGGGAGTGTTTCAGGGGTGGTTTTAGGGGTGTTTTAGGGTGTCCTAGGGGAATTTGGGGGGGTTTCGGGGAGTTTGGGTGTGGTTATGGGGCTGATTTTGGGTGTTTCAGGGGTGTTTTGGGGCTGGTTTGGGTGTTTTAGGGGTGTTTGGGGGCTGGTTTGGGTGTTTCAGGGGTATTTTTGGGCGTTTTGGGGCTGTTCTGGGTGTTTCAGGGGTGATTCGGGGCTGTTTTGCGTGTTTCAGGGGTATTTTGGGGCTGGTTTGGGTGTTTCAGGGGTATTTTGGGGCTGGTATTGGATGTTTCAGGGGTATTTTGGGGCTGTTTTGGGTGCTCCATGGGTATTTTGTGGCTGGTATTGGGTGTTTCAGGGGTATTTTGGGGCTGTTTTGGGTGTTTCAGGGGTATTTTGTGGCTGGTATTGAGTGTTTCAGGGGTATTTTGGGGCTGTTTTGGGTGTTTCAGGGGTATTTTGGGGCTGTTTTGGGTGTTTCAGGGGTATTTTGGGGCTGTTTTGGGTGTTTCAGGGGTGTTTTGGATCTGTTTGTGGTGTTTCAGGGGTATTTTGTGGCTGGTATTGGGTGTTTCAGGGGTATTTTGGGGCTGTTTTGGGTGTTTCAGGGGTATTTTGGGTCTGTTTTGGGGCTGTTTCGGGTGTCCCCCCCCCCCCCCCCCCCCCCCAGGTACGCGGACCGGACGCGGCACATCCGGTGCCACGCGGTGGTGAACGAGGACCCGAACGCGCGCCTCATCCGCGAGCTGCGGCGGGAGGTGGCGCGGCTGCGGGAACTGCTCCGCGCCCAGGGCCCCCCCCCCCGCGCCGGGCCCGACCACGGTGCGAACCGGGGGGGTTCTAAGCCCCGCCCCCCCAGCCTAAGCCCCGCCCCCCCAGCCTAAGCCCCGCCCCCTTAACCCTCATTCCCCCCCCCCACAGAGGCCCCCGCTGAACCCCCCCCTGCCGAGCCCCCCCCTCCCACCGCCGTCAATGGGGCCACGGAGCCGTTGCCCCCCCTCAGCGCTGCGGAGGCGATGGAGAGGCTGCAGGTGCCCAAAACACCCCAAAACCACCCCAAAACAACCCAAAACCACCCCAAAAAGACCCCCAAGTCACCTCCCATTGTGGGGCCCCCCAGGAAACAGAGAAGATCATCGCGGAGCTGAACGAGACCTGGGAGCAGAAGCTGCGTCGGACGGAGGCGCTGCGGCTGGAGCGGTGCGGGCTGGGGGGGGCCAGCACAGCAAACAGCCCTAAAACACCCCAAAACAGCCCTAAACCACCCAGAAACACTCCAAATCACCCCTAAAATAGCTCAAAACCACCCTGAAACACCCAGAAAACACCCCAGAACCACCAAAACAAACTGAAACACCCCAAAACACCTCACAACCACCCTAAACCCATCCAGAACCACCCCAGAATACTCCAAAGCCACTTAAAACACCCCAAACCCCATTAATTGCACCCCAAATCTTCCACATGGAGCAGGCAAACCCCTCCCAGACCCATGCCCCCCCCAACTCTCCCCATTGCCCCCCATTACCTGCAATACCCCCAATGCCCACAGGGAGGCGCTGTTGGCCGAGATGGGCGTCGCACTGCGGGAGGACGGCGGCACCGTTGGGGTCTTCACCCCTAAAAAGGCGAGTCCCGGAGAGGGGGGCACCCCCAACCCACCCCCCCCTCCGCTATGGGGCAACCCCCCCTGTGACCCCCAAAAGCTCATTTTTGGGGTTCCCCCCCCCGTAAAGACCCCGCATTTGGTGAACCTCAATGAGGACCCCCTGATGTCCGAGTGCCTCCTGTACCACATCAAGGACGGGGTCACCAGGTGAATGGGGCACCCCAAGCCCTATAGGGACCCCAAACCCCTATAGGGACCCCAACTTATGGCCCCCCCATAGAGTGGGTCGAGTGAACGTGGACATCAAGCTCTCAGGACCCCTCATTGAGGAGCAGCATTGCCTGTTCCGCAGCCAGCCCGGCCCCACAGGTGAAGGTAGGAATCCCCCTTTGGGGGTGCCCCCTTTTGCACCCCTTTTGCACCCCATAATTCCTCTTTGTCCGCCCCCAACGCTGCCATGGGAACAGGGTGCTGCATCCCCCCCCAGGTATGGGGTGCTAAGGGGGAAGATGGGGTTTTGGGGGGGGATTTGGGGTGGATTTGGGGGTCCCCCCCCATTTCTCGGTGTCGTGAACCCCTTTTGGGGGTGTGTGTGCGTGTCCCAACCAGTGGTGGTGACGCTGGAGCCGTGTGAAGGAGCCGAGACCTACGTCAACGGGCAGCGGGTGACGGAGCCCATGGTGCTCCAATCGGGTAGGGACCCCAAAACGCACCCAAACAGCAAAAAACACCCCAAAACGCACCCAAAACCCCAATTCCCACCTGAACCCCCCCATTTCCGCCCCCTCCCCACCCCCATTGCCCCCCATTGCCCCCAGGAAGCCGCCTGGTGCTGGGCCAGAGCCACGTCTTCCGCTTCACGCACCCGGAGCAGGCGCGGCGCCAGCGGGAGCAGGACCGGGACCGGGGGCGGGAGCGGGAGCGGAACCGGGGCCCCCCTGAGACCCCCCCAGACTGGAGCCAGGCGCAGCGGGAGCTGCTGGAGCTGCAGGGCATCGATGTGCGGCCGGGGGGGACCCCCAGGTGAGGGGAATGGGGGGCAATGGGGAGCAATGGGGACAATGGGGAGCAATGGGGATGATGGGGGGATATGGGGGGTCACCCCATGTGTGTGCCCCACAGGGTGCAGGACCCAGAGAAACGGCACCAGGGAGAGGAGGAAACAGCTGAGGAGCAGCGAATGGTGAGGGATATGGGTATGGGATGTGGGATAGGGGATATAGGATATGGAATATAGGGTATGGGATGTGGGATATGGGGTATGGAATATGGGATATAGGGTATGGGATGTGGGATATAGGGTATGGGATGTCGGATATGGGGTATGGAATATGGGATATAGGGTATGGGATATGGGATATGTGATATAGGGTATGGGATGTGGCATATAGGGTATGGGATATGGGATATAGGGTATGGGATGTGGGATATGGGATATAGGGTATGGGATATGGGATATGGGATATAGGGTATGGGATGTGGGATATAGGGTATGGGATATAGGGTATGGGATGTGGGATATGGGGTATGGGATATGGGATATAGGGTATGGGATATGGGATATAGGGTATGGGATGTGGGATATGGGATGTTGGGTCCTCAATGTCCCCTGGCTGTCCCGTCCCCTCCTGCCTCCTCCAGGCCGTGCCCCCCTCCCCGCGGCGCCCTGGGAGGCGCCGGGAGCCGCTCCGGGTTTATCAGATCCCGCAGCGCCGGGCGCTGACACCGGAGCCACCGCGGAGCCGGGAGGGCGCGGGGGACACCGAGGCCGCCGGTGCCGGTGCCGGTGCCGGTGCCGGTGGTGGCGGCGCGGAGGTGGCCGGGCTGCGGGCGCACCTGCAGCGCTTGGCGGGGATCCTGCGGGACGTGAGGCGCCAGAACAGCGCCAAGGACGAGCAGCTCCGGGCGCTGCGGGACCGCGTGGGCCGCATGGAGCGCGCCCTGCCCCTGCCTGCGGTGAGCGCCCCATGGGCACCCCCACGGCGCGACCCCAGAGCCCCGCAGCACCCCCATAACCCCCGTGCTCCCCTTTACCCCTCACAGGACGACGACGACCCCGACCCGGACCCCGACCCCGACCCAGCCCCGTCACCGCCGCCCTCGCCCCCGTCGCGGCTGGAGCTGCTCATGCAGCGGGACCCCGCGTTCCGGCGCGGCCGCTTGCGCTGGCTGCGGCAGGAGCAGGCGCGCCTCTGGGGGGCGCTACAACCGCCGGCGCTGAGGCCACGCCCCCTGCAGGACCCCGCCCGCCTGCGGTTCCCCTTTAAGAGCAACCCCCAGCACCGCGCCACGCCCCTCGCCGAGGACACGCCCACCGCCGCCGAGGACACGCCCCTTCCGGCCGCCGAAGGGCGGCCCCTAAGCGGGAGGACCCCGCCGCGCATCCGGCGGCAGCGCTCGGCGCCGGACCTCAAGGCACGGGGCCCCCACGCTTAGAGGGGGAGGCGCTCATTAAAGGGTGACCCGTAATTAAAGAGGAAAAGCTCATTAAAGACCGGTGGCCACGCCCCCCGGGGCAGGCTCCACCCACTTTCCTGGCTGTGGGTGGGGTGGAGGAAGTTCCCAGCCTTTTCTCCCATATATGGCGACAATCCCTGGGGGCGTGGCATGCAGAAACACCCTCTCTGCATTTTGGCCACGCCTCCTTCGCCATTAAAGGACATAGCGTGGGCGTGCCTTGGAGGAAACTCCGCCTCTTGGCTGTACCCTGCCCATTTCGCCATTAAGGGCATTGGGGAACGTGGCTGGCCGAGGCTCCGCCCCTTTTCCATTTGAGGAGGTGCAGCGCGTAACGTGACCCCGCCCCTTTCGCCATCAAAGGGAATACGGGTGGGCAAGCCCCGCCCCTCTTCCCACGCCCCCTGCACTTCCCCATTCACAGAGCGCATTGGGGGCGTGCCCGCCCTTGTCCCCGCCCCTTTGTAGCCGTGGCCTCTCTCCGTTCCCCCCCCCCCGCCGCCACTCGGCGCCATGAGCCGGGTCCCGGTGCTGCTCCCGCTGCTGCTCAGCGCCCTGTGCCCGGCCGAGGGGCAGGACCCGGCCCCCAACCTCACCCGGTAACGGGACCCCCCCCCCCCCCCCGTTTTCCCCTTTCATTCCCCCCGGTAACCGGTTACCCCGTCCCCAGGCCCGTGTTCCCGTGCGGCGGGGAGCTCCGCGGCGAGTCGGGCTACGTGGCCAGCGAGGGCTTCCCTCGGCACTACCCGCCCAACAGCAACTGCACATGGAGCATCACGGTACGGACCCCCCCTCCCCGTTATCCCGGTACCCCCCCCGGTACCGCTCACCCCGCCCCCCCACCCCGCAGGTCCCCGAGGGGCAAACGGCGTCGTTGTCCTTTCGGGTCTTCGACCTGGAGCCCGACGCCCGCTGCCGCTTCGATTCGCTGTCGGTGTTCGGGGGCTCCGGCCCGGCCCCGCCGCTCCTCGGTCGCTACTGCGGCACCTTCCGGCCGGGTCCGCTGCGGGCTCCCGGTAACCGGTTACTGCTGCGGATGGAGAGCGACGGGGCCACGGCCGGGAGAGGCTTCCTCGCCTGGTTCAGCGCCGGGCCCGGCCCGGGACACGGTGCGGGAATGGGAACGGGAATGGGAACGGGAATGGGAATGGGGGGGCACTGCCGGCAGAGAGCAGGGACCCCCCATAGACCCCCATAGACCCCCATAGAACCCCATAGACCCCCTATAGACCCCTATAGACCCCCCATAGACCCCCCATAGACCCACATAGACCTCCATAGAACCCCATTGACACCCCCATAGAACCCCATAGACCCCGACCCCCCAACCCTCGGGACCTTTTTCAGGGCCCCCCCCACCCCTCGGGGCTCCATAACCCCCCCCTTTATTCGGGGAGTCCATAACCGCCCCCCAGATTAGCTCCGAACACCCCGGGGGGGGGGTCCTGCACCCCCCACTTCCCATCGCATGGTTCTGGCATCACCCCCCCTCACCCCCATAGAGAATCATTGTGGGGAGGGGGGGTTTGGGGGTCCCAGTGCAGAGCAGGCGCCGGCGGTGCAGGGTAAAAGGGGGGGGATTCGGTTGTGGTTTGTGCCCCCCCCTTCCTCAAATGGTTCCCCCCCCCTTTAGAGCATCAGTTCTGTGGGGGGCGCCTGGAGAAGCCCCAGGGGAGCCTGAGCTCCCCCAACTGGCCCGAGGAGAATTACCCCCCCGGCGTGAGCTGCACGTGGCACATCCGAGCCCCCCCCGACAAGGTCCCTGGGGCCCGGCTATGGGGGTTAAAGGGGGTTCCTGGCTATGGGGGGTTATGGGGCTTTATGGGGGGGTTATGGGGGTTCATGGCTATGGGTGTCAATGGGGCCTGTGGGGGGTTATGGGGGTTCATGGCTATGGGTGTCAGTGGAGAGCTATGGGTGTCAGTGGGGGCTATGGGTGTCAGTGGAGAGCTATGGGTGTCAGTGGGGGCTATGGGTGCCAATGGGGAGCTATGGGTGCCAATGGGGGCTATGGGTGCCAATGGGGGCTATGGGTGCCAATGGGGGCTATGGGTGCCAATGGGGGCTATGGGTGCCAATGGGGGGCTATGGGCGTCAGTGGGTGCCATGGGTGTCAGTGCGGGCTATGGGTGTCCATGGGCGTCAATGGGTGTCCATGGGTGTCAATGGGAGGTGCCATTGCAGACTAACGGGGGGGGGGGTCTGCAGGTGGTGGAGCTGCGCTTCGGGAAGTTCGATGTGGAGCCGGACGCTCACTGCAGATACGATCACGTGGCCGTGTTCGATGGGGGCCGCTCCGACGATGCCCGCAGGGTGGGGAGGTTCTGCGGGGAGGAGACCCCGGGGTGAGCCCCCCCCAACCCATCCAGACCCCCCCAACCCCTTCCTTACCCCCCCAACCCCATCCTGACGCCCCCAACTCCATCCTGACCCCCCCAACCCCATCCTGACCCCCCTCAACCCCATGCTTACCCCCCCAAACCCCATCCTGACCCGCTCAACCCCTTCCTGACCCCCCCATCCTGCCCTCCCCCCCCCAGCCCCATCATCTCCTCAGGCCCGGAGCTGCTGGTCCAGTTCGTGTCCGACCTCAGCGTCACCGCCGACGGCTTCTCCGCCTCCTACGTCCTGCGGAGCCCCCCCGGAGCGCCCCCCCCGGCCCCGTCCCCGTCCGCCTCCGAAGGGGCCAAGGGCAAAGGGAAGCCCCCCCCCACCGCGGCCCCCAGCCCCAAAGGCGGCCCCGGCAGCGCCTGCCCCGAGCGGTGCCGCCGCGCGGGGTCGCTGCAGAGCAGCTTCTGCGCCAGCGACTTCGGTGAGGGCCCCTATGGGGGGTGAAGGGGATGGGGACCCCCAATGGGGGGGTCCGGGGGTGATTGAAGCCCCCCCCTTTTCCATTGCGTTAATGGGGCCGGGGCTGTCTCTGCGCCCGCAGTGCTGACGGGGACGGTGAAGTCGCTGTCTCGGGCCCCCCCCCAGGAGCAAGGCTGGGCCGTGGTCTCCATCCTGGGCCTCTACAAAGTGGGGGCGCTGGGGGTGCCCTCCCCGGCCAAAGGGGCCACCCTGCGCCTGCGCCTGCCCTGCCGGCTCTGCCCCAGCCTCAAGAAAGGTGGGTGCGGGACATGGGGGGGTCCTTGTCCCATCACACCCCCCCCCATCCTGACCCACATCCCCCCATATCTCTTCCAGGCTCCAGCTACATCCTGATGGGGCGCATGGGGGAGGACGGGGGGGCGCTGCTGCCCCCCGATGCCTTCGTGGTCCCGCTCCGGCCGCAGCAGCAGCAGCAGCTCCTGAGCAGCCTCAGCAAGCGGCCGTGCCGGGGCAGCGCCTGAGCCCCCACCCCCCCGGGGGGCCCCCCCTTCCCTTCGTGCAATTAAAGGGTGCAGACACAGACTCTGACCCCCCCCCCCGCTGCCACGTGGACGGGTCCGTTCCCCCCCCCCCAAATTTGGCTTTAAAGCGAGCGGCGCCTTTAAGAGTGGCCAAAGGGGCGGGGATTGAGGGGCGTGGCCTCCCATGACGGGTGGAGGCATGGCCACAGTGGGGAAAGGGGCGTGGTCTCTTGGGGGGCTTGCTTAGAGGAGGCCAATCAGAGAGTCAGGTGAAGCGTGATTAATTGAGCCTCATATTGCCCTTTCCTCCTCTTGACCTATCTGCTACCGCCTCTCCTGCCGCTCTCAAAGCGTGATTGGTCGATTGCACACCAATCACACGCCTGCCTCCCGCCCCTTCAAATGCCATTGGCACCGCGGGGCGCGCCGGGGTCGCGTTGCTAGGCGACCAGCTCTTTTCGCTCTTGATTGGTGGCAATCTGCTTCCCCCCTTTGCGCCCTGGGCAGGAAGCCCGCCTCCCACGCTCATGTTTACGTTTCGACCACGCCCCCTGCTCCTCTTCCCTCTCTCATTGGCCGCAGCTCTGTCCCCGCCCCCTCACGGGCTCCACCTCCCCTGGCCGCAGCTTCCGGTCGCGCAGTCGAGCAGCGGCGGCCGCGGGGAGCGGAGCTCTCAGGCCATGGCGGCGGCCGAGGCCCAACCGCTGCAGCCTCCGCCGCCCGGCGGGGTTGGGGCCGGCACCGAGCGAGCCCTGGAGGAAGCGGCGGCCTCCGGGACCCTCATCCTGGCCGGGCGCCGCCTCCGCTCCTTCCCCGCGGCTGCGGCCCGGCGCTGGGACATCAGCGACACCACACAGGCCGGTGAGGCCACGCCCCCTCCCCGGTGGGGCCTGTACCACCCATACCGAGGGCGGGGGGGTCCCGGCTACTCTCGTTGTCCCCCATGGCCCCGGCGGGGCTCAGCGCAGCCGCGTCCAACCCCCCCGTATTCAACCCCTTGGGCTCGCCCAGCCCTTGCCCCGGGCCTTCCCCTTGAGTTCCGGCGGCCCCATGGCGGGCAAAGCCGGGCGATCCGGCTGTGCCGGTCCCTGTCCCCCCCCCGGGGTCAGCGCCGGCCCTAGGGCTCCTCGCCCCATAGGGTCCCCATCCCCATCGCTCCCCACCCCTCCCGTTGAGTGTCCCCATCCCCGCAGACCTCTCCCGCAACCGCTTCGGGGAGGTGCCGGAGGCCGCCTGTCACCTGCCGGCACTGGAGGGGCTGAGCCTGCACCACAACTGCCTCCGCAGCGTCCCCCCGGCCATCGCCAACCTCCAGGCCCTCGCCCACCTCGACCTCAGGTCCTGCCCCCCCAAACCCCCCCCCGAACCCCTCCTCACCCCCCCCGTTCCCCATTAACTCCTCCCCGCTCTCCATCGCCCCCTGCGCAGCCGGAACCACCTGAGCTCGCTGCCCCCCTCCCTCTGCCTCCTGCCCCTGCGCGTCCTCAACGCCAGCAACAACCGCTTGGCCCAGCTCCCGGACAACATCGGCGCCATGGGGGCCCTGCGGCAGTTGGTGAGCACCAAGGAAACGGGGTGCGGGGGGGGGGGCACACACAAACACCCCTCCCATTGACCCCCCCTCTCCGTGCACCCCAGGACGTGAGCTCCAACGCGCTGCGGGCGCTGCCACCGGGGCTGGGGCAGCTGCGGGCGCTGCGGGACCTGAACCTGCGCCGCAACCTCCTCACGGTGCTGCCTATGGGTGAGTGCAGCCCCCCCAAACCCCCCCATTGATCTCTATGTATGTGAGTGACCTCCCCATTGATCTCTATGGATGTGAGTGACCCCCTCCAAACCCCCCCATTGATCTCTATGTATGTGAGTGACCTCCCCATTGATCTCTATGGATGTGAGTGACCCCCCCCCAAACCCCCATTGATCTCTATGGATGTGAATGACCCCCCCCAACCCCCCCAGAGCTCTCGGGGCTCCCCCTTGTGCACCTCGACTTCTCCTGTAACCGGATCGTGGCCATTCCCCGGTGCTACCGGCGCCTGCGGCACCTCCAGAGCATCCTCACCGAGCACAACCCCCTGCAGAGCCCCCCCGCGCAGGTCAGCACCACCCGGGGGGGGTGCGGGTGGTTCAGCCCCCCCAAACCCCATCTGACCCCTTAAACACCCCCCCCCCCATTAGATCTGCCTCAAGGGCAAAGTTCACATCTTCAAGTACCTGGAGACTGAGGCTGCAGCCACCCGGGCGCCCCCCCCCGCAGGGTAAATGGGGCTCAAATGGGGTACCCCCACCCTTTACCCCCATTGAGGTTTGGGGTCCTCATCCTGGTTCTTGCCCTACAGCCCCATGGAGGAGCTGAGCCCCCCCCGGCATCGCCATGGCCTGGACTCGGGGTTCCACAGCGTGGACAGCGGCAGCAAGCGCTGGTCCGGCAATGAGGTGGGTGCTGGTTTGGGGGGGGGGGGTTAAATTGGGTGCCCCCCACCCTGATGTCACCCCCCTGTGCATTGGTTTAGTCCACAGAGGAGTTTGCAGAGCGGCTGCCCCAGGGCAAGCGCTGTGGTGAGTGGGGGAGCACCCCCATGACCCCAATAACACCCCTATGGGACCCCCCCATAACCCCTATGGGACCCCCCCATCACCCCTATGGGATCCCCCCATCACCCCTATGGGATCCTCCCCCTCACCCCTTCCTTCCCCATAGGTGGTGACAGCGACCCCGAGGAGGATGAAGAGGAACTCCCCCCCGAGGTGACAGCGCTGACCCCAACCTTTCCCTGCCCCATATTGGGGGGGGGACCCCCAAATCCTGCCCCCCCCCTCAATATAAAGACCCTCCTTTGTGTGTGTGTCCCATCACAGGGCTTGTCCACAGAGAAGGCGCCCGGTGGCAGGTACGTGATGGGAATGGGATGGGAATGGGGGTAATGGGAATGGGGGTAATGGGAATGAGGGTAATGGGAACATGGCACTGGGATGGGATTGGGACAGGGAACGGGGATGGGTTTGGGCTATGGGAGGGGGAACAGGGATGGGTTTGGGATGAGGGATTTGGGGGTGTCACTTTCCTCCCCCCGCAGCCACCTGGACCCAGGCCCCCCCTCTGAGCCCAGGAGCACCCCGGTGAGTCCCAACCCCCCCTCATTAGGCTCAACCCTCATTAACCCTCATTAACAGGGGTGTTAATTACCCCTCCCCCCCTCCAATGCAGGTTCTAACCAAAGCCCCCCGCCCCCCCCGTGTCCTCCTCCGCTCCAGACTGGGTAACGCACAAACACCCCCCCCTTGTGCCCCCCCCAATGCCCCCCCCCACTTTGTGACCCCCATTTCCCCCACAGCCCCTCCGGATGCCAGCGAGGGGGAGCTGATGGCTGAGATGCAGCAGGTAAAGGGGGGGCGTCCCCATTCCCCCCCTTTCTTATTCACATTATGGGGTGTTGGACCCCCCCAAACCCATGGTGGGGGGCGTGGTTTAAAGCCCCCCCCCCCCCCTTTTATCCTCCCAGAGCATCGAGTCCCTGCTGCAGCTGCGCCTGGGCAATGAGGAGCTGCTCTCCCGCCTGACCCAGCGCCTGCGGCCCCCCCTCGCTGTGAGTGCCCCCCAACACCCCCCCACCCCCCAATTCCAACCCCCCCTGACCCCCTTCTTCTCCTGCCCCCCACAGCCCAAACTGAGCCCCACAAGCAGCCACCGGACACAGGTAAATGGGGGGGGGGTGTTAAGGGGATGGGGGGGGCTGTGCCCCCCCATTCTCATGTCCCCCCCACTTCAGGCACAGCCGCTGCCCCCCGGGCTCCTCGCTGGCTTCGCCCTCTTCTACGGCCTGGTCATGGCTCTGCTTTATGCTGGGTACCGAGCGCTGTTCGGGTGCTGAGGGGGGGGGCACCCCCCCTTCACCCCACAACCCCCTCCCCTGCTCCATCATGTGCCTTAATGAGGGAAACTGAGGCAGGGATGGGAGAGCCTTAAGTGAATCATGGGGAAAAACCCCTTTAATTATTGTAATTATTATAACGGTTATTATTCTAATTAATTATTATAATTAATTATTTTAATTAAGGTTGGAACGATAGAGCTGCTCTTAAATTATATTTGCTATGTATTATAGATGGACATGGAAGTGCTGTGTGAGTATCGGGGGGGGATCAAGACCTGGCTCCTAATGGGTGGGGGGTAAATTCTGCCCTTCCCCCTCTGCCTTTGCTGCTCTTTTGGTCCATTTTTGCCCTTTCTGTACCCGAAAAGGGACTCTCTGCCCCCCCGCAATAATGATGTCTCATTAACACCCCCTAATTATCATCGCACCCCCCTCAGGAGGTGATGGGTGAGCTCCCTCCCTCCCCTCACCAGGGCCCCGCCCCCAGCACGGACTCTGCGTTCTGATTGGTTGAGATGGTGAAGCGGCCGCCGCCATATTGGATAATGGCAGCCCCCTTGGCTGCCGTACAGAGCACGACAGCCGCCATCTTTATGGGGGGTGAGGCAGGGATGGAGACAGGCGCGGTTTATATCGAATATATATTAGATATCGCGATAAAAAAGAGAACCTGGTCCCGGATGAAGGGGGGGGGAGTCCCCGTACCCCCCCCCCCCCACCGCGGCAGCAGCAGCTACAGGAGCGGGTTGGTGGCCGGAACCATCTGTGGATGGGGGGGGACAAAAAGGGGGTTTAGGGGCACAAAAAGGGGGTGTAGGGTCCCCTTTATTGCCCCCCCCGTCTCACCACGAAGGGGTTGGTTGAGGCTTTGGTACCGTTGATGGCAGCGACGGCTGAACCTGCCAATGGGAGCAGAGAAGGGGGCCGGGGGTCAGTGGGGGGGGGGATATATCACACCCCCCCCACACTGGGTACTTACCATCAGCCTGCAGCGGGGGGGCGGCCAAAGCAGGCACTGGGGGTCGCAGGCATCCGGATGCGGGACCTCGGTGAAGGTCATCATGAAATGGACTTGATGCGGTGGGGGGGGTTCAGCCCCTGCCTGCAGGGAGCCCCAAAAGCAGGGGGTTTCAGCCCTAAAAACAGAGATGCGGCACCAAAATAATGGTCTGAACCCCAAAACAAGGGGTTTTATCCCCCCAAATGGGGGTTTCAACCCAAAAATCAGGGATGTGGCACCAAAATCAGGGTTTTGAACCAAAAAGTAGGGTTTTCACCCCAAAACCCCACTGTTAACAGCGCGGTGTATCTAGGCCACGCCCCCAGGGTGAAACCCCGCCTGCTGTTCTGCTGCAGCGAGTCAGCACCCGTCGCTCTTCCCCCCGTGCAAACCACGCCCCCTCATGACTGCCCCCGCCCCTTACGTCCTGCGTAAGGCGGAGGCCCCGCCCCTCTCCGCGCCCGGTCCCCGCTCACAGCGCGCTGGAACACCCGGTGCACACGGGGCTGCCCACGGTGATGTCCATGTAGGCCACGCCGCGCTGCCCGCACGCAAAGCAGCGCCGGTTACCGGGGGCGCGCTCACCACGTCCCGCACCCGCCGGCTCCAAACTTCCGCTTCCGCATCACGGGGCGCTGGCCCGCCGAGCCCCGGGGCCGTCGCTTCCGCTTCCTCCTCCTCTTCCTCCGCCTCCCGCCCCACCGGGCCCCGCTGCGGGACGGGACCCTCCATCCGCCGCCATCTTCCTGCGTCTGCTCGCCCGGCGGCGACCCCGCCCACTGCGTACCCGTAGCTCCGCCTATGACGTAAGCACGTGTCTTGCGTAACCACGCCCACTTCGCCCCTCCCTGCTGCCCTGAGGTAATTCGCGCCTCTCAGCATTCCCACGGCTCCCTCCCACTCCGCGGTGTTTTACAGGTAAATACAGCAAAAATGGTTCATTTTGGGTGGTTTTCACTCAATTTCACTGTTATTGCGCACTCAGGAGGGAGTGGAAGGGGGATGGAGTTACCTCAATCACTTCACTGGGGCTCCCCCTCACAAACAACTCAGAGACCCCCTCCAACTCCTCTTTCCCTCAGAGACCCCACCATTGAGCCCAAAATGGTCCAAACCAGCCCAAGTTTGGGTGCTTTTCACCCAAATTCACCTTTGATTCTCAACCATGGGCGCGGGGAAGAGGTCTGGGGCCAGACACCCCCCCAACACCTCCGAAGTATTTTCTCCCCAAAATGGTCCAAACCAGCTCAGTTTTGGGTGGTTTTCACCCCAAATCACACTCATTCCCCACCCAGGAGCGGGAGGATGAGGTTCGGGGGTGCCCGATCCCATCTTTGGGGTAACAGCTCCCCTCATAAATCCTTTAAGTGATTTAACCCAAATATGGTCAAAAAAGTCTCATTTTCGGGGATTTTCACCCCAATTTGCCCTCATTCCACACCCTGGAGCGCTTTAGGGGCTCACTGTTGGGGGTGTCCCCCCCCCCATCCCCTCACTTGGTCTCTTCCAGCTGCTTCTCTCTTTAATAGTGCACAGAACCACGTTACAAAAGGACCCCCCCCGCCCCCCACTCCCCCCCCCAAATTCGGGGTCCCCCCCGTAGGGACAAAGGCAATTCTGGTGGGGGGGGCACACGAGGCACAAAGGGGCTGGGGGGGGTCCCATGCAAGGGTTGGGGGGCTCTTTCCCCCCCTCCCCTCGCACACCCCCCATTGAGGGGGGGCACCCCTAAACCCCTTCCCCCCCCCAAGGCCGCACTGCGGCCCCCCCAGAGCTGACCCCCCCCGACCCTGCTCAACCGTGGATGCACCCCCATAAATACCCCCCCGTGACCCCCCATAAATACATTTGCAAAGCAGTTAACAGCGCCCCCCCCTCTTTAGGGGGTGACCCCCCCTTTATTGGGGGGGCTCTACCCCCCTTTAATGCCCCTCCCACCCCATAGTCCATAAGGGGGGATCAAACCCCCCCATAATGGGGGGGGCTGTACCCCATGATTGAGCCTCGGCACCACACTCAGCGCCCCCCTAAATGGGGGGGGGCAGCCTTGATACCCCTTAATTAGGGGTTGACCCCCCCTGATTGGGGCCTGCACCCCCTATTGGGGTGCTCACCTCCCCCCCCATTGACTCCTATTATGGGAGACCCCATTTACCCTTGGGGGGGGGGTCACCACCGCTCCCCCCTCATTTTAGGGGTATCCCCCCCCATTGTTTTTACGAGGGGGGTGAATGTACCATAAATACCCCCCCCAAACCCTCCCCTAACCCGGCCCAGCCGCGTCTCCCCCCCCTTTACACCCCCCCTGCCCCCCCCTTTTCCCGCCCCCTCCCCCCCAATTTGGGGGTGTGTTTGTTTGGGGGGGGGGTCAGAGATGCTCCAGGCACCCCCGGGGGGGGCGGGGGTCAGATGGCCGTGTCCCAGAGCACTGCATGGGGCCTGCGGGCCTGGGGGGTGCCTGGAGGGGGGGGCGGGGGGGGGGGGGGAGGGGGTGGAGGTGGGGGCGGGGTTCTCCCATCCCGCCAAGCGGGGGGGGGCTGTGGAGGGGGGGGGGCGGGGAGGCTGTCCTGCTTGCAGAGCCCCCCCCCGCCCCCCCCGCGCCCCCCCCGCGCCTTGATCTCGGTGCAGACGCAGCGCTTGCGGTCGATCACCTCCTGCAGGCGCCCGTCCCGCGGGCGGGGGGGGGCGGCGGCAGCGGCGGCGCTCGGAGGGACCCCCCCGGACAGCGGCCGAGGAGGGGGGGGGGCAGCGGAGGAACCGGGAGCACCGGCGGGGGGCGCCCCGCGGGGAAAGGGGGGGGCTCCCGCGTGGCGAACGCCGGAGGTGGAGGCGGAGCGGCCCAAGCGGTGCCCGAGGGGGGAGTCTGGGGGGGGAATAAAGAGGGGGGGGGGTCGGTGAATGGGGGTTGTAACACGTACCCCCCCCATTAATGGTACCCCCCATGTGCCCACCTGACGGCCGCCCGCAGGCAGGGAAGGTCTGGCAGGGGAGGGGGGGCCCCGGCCGCCCCCGGGACCCCTCAGCTCGCACCGGGATCCCCGAGGGGGGGGGCTCTGCTGTACCTGTAAGGTCAAAGGTCAGCCCCGCCCACAAGTGACCACACCCCCGCTCCCTCCCTCTTCCATCACAACTCACGCTCAGCATCTTTCCCGCGCCGGTTGGGGGCGGAGCCTGCGCGGCGAGGGGCGGGGTCCTCTTCACGGGATAGGGCCGGGCTTCCGGAGGCCACGCCCCCTCGCAGGCTGTCGTAGGCTGGTGGGCGCTTCACGTGGGGCGGAGCCTCGGAGGCGATGGGTGGGGCAGGGGGGAGGGGCAAGGAGCCGAGCCCCGCCCCTCCGCGCTCCCGCCCCGCACCTGGTTGGTGGAGGGAGGAGGAGGGGGGCGGAGGGAGAGGCGTGGAGTGGCTCCGCGCGCGGGCAGGGGGCGGGACCTCGCGGCGAGGGAGGGGCAGGCGCGAGCCCTCGGAGGGCGTGGCCAGCAGCGGTGGGCGGGGCGTGAGGAGGTTGGGGAAGGGCGGGGGTATGGGGGCGTGGCCGGGGAATGGGGCGCGGCCGGGGAACGGCGGGGCGTGGCCGCCGAAGGGGGCGTGGCCGTGAAAAGGGGCGGTGCGAGAGAACGGGGCGGGGCCTCCATCCTCCCCCGGCGGGAGGGGGCAGCTCATCTCCTCATAGATGGCCTCGGGCTCCTCGGGGGGAGGGGCCGGAGGGGGCGGGCCCCCCCTCTTGGCACCGCCTCCCCCCGCCCTCCGCGCGTCCCCCACCATCTCGATGTACACAGGCTCCTCCCCCTCCGGGCCCCCCCCTCCCCCCCCGGCTTCCGAGGTGCAGGGGGGGGCCGAGAGCCGGGTCTGGGGGCTCCGCGATGGCTTCAGGGGGGGGGTCTGCCGCACGCAGCCCCCCCTTGGGGCGCCTGCAAGGGGGAACGGGGGGGTCAGCACCCCATAGCCCCCCCATAGCCCCCCCGATTCCACACCCCCCCCTTACTCACCGCCCCTCTTGGCTGGCGGCGCCTCCAGGCGCCCCTCGGGGGGTCCGGCGCGGGGGCCGTGGGGCCGCGGGGGGGCCCCGCTCTCGGGGAGCCCCACAGCGTGGCAGGAGAGGGAGCGCGGGGCCATGCCGGGGGTGCAGGGCCGGGGCCCCCGCTCCTGGGGGGCCGGAAGCGTCAGGAACCCCACCCGGAGCGGGCGGCGCAGGGAGCCCCCCCCGTCCCGAGCCTTGGATCTGGGGGGGGAGAGAACAAAGTGGGGGGGGTCAAGGGGTACCCCTCCAAACACAGGCATGGAACAGTTGGACCCAGCCATTGTAACCCCTTATAATGGGGGGGTTATGGAGTATGGGGTAACCTGAAGCCCATAGTGGGTTATGGGGTGCAGAGGGGGCATAATATGGGATGAGGGGGGACTACTGTGGTGTGCAGGGGGGGCTATTATGGGGTGCAGAAGGGGGTTACTATGGTGTGCAGGGGGGGTTATTATGGGGTGCAGGGGGGTTATTATGGGGTGCAGGGGAGTTATTATGGGGTGCAGGAGAGTTATGGGGTGCAGGGGGGGTTACTATGGTGTGCAGGGGGGTTATTATGGGGTGTAGGGGAGTTATGAGGTGCAGGAGGGTTATTATGGGGTGCAGGGGGGGTTACTATGGTGTGCACGGGGGAGTTATTATGGGACATGGGTGGGGTTATTATGGGACATAGGATTTATTATGGGATGCAGGAGCGGTTGTTATGGATGGCAGGAGATTATTGTGGGGTGCAGGAGGGGTTATTATGGGATGTGGGGGGATTATTATAGGATTCAGGTGGGGTTGTTATTGGTGGGAAGGGGGGGTTATTATGGGATACAGGGGGGCTATGGGGGGCACAAGGGGTTATTATGGGACATGGGGGGATTATTATAGGATGCAGGGGGGGTTATTATTGGTGGGGAGAATTATTATGGGATACACGGGGGGTTATGGGGGGCACGGGGGTTGTTATGGGACGTAGGAGGGGTTATTATGGGATGTAAGGGAAGGTATTATGGGATGCAGAGGGAGTAATATGCGACGTACAGAGGATTATTATGGAATGAGGGGGGGTTATTATGGGATGCAGGGGGAAGTTATTATGGGATGCAAGGGGGGGTTATTATGGGATGCACCGACCCCTTCCTGGGCTCCTCCTCGCGGGGGGGGGGTCTCCAGTCCTGGCGCCCTTTGCGCTGCAGCAGGTTCATGGCCGCGGGGGGGCGCTCCTCTCCCAGCCGCAGGAAGGCGGCGGCAGCGAGCTCCGACCGCTGGGGGGCGCTCATCGCTGCGGGGGGTGGCGGGAAAACGGTGGGGGTCACTCTATCCCCCCTCCCCATTGCCCCCTCCCCACCGCCCCCCCCCCGTTACCTGCGGCTCCGTTGCTTTACGGGGGGGGTTGAGGCCGCGGAGGAGGAGGAGGAGGAGGAGGGGGGGGGCGGATCTCCTCCCCCCTCGCCCCCCCCCCCACCTCCACCACCACGATCGAGGCCTTGGGCGGGGGCTTCACGGGGGGCGGCGGCCGCCCATGGCGGGGCTCTACGGGCCTGGGCACGGGGCGAGCGGGGTTAACCGGGGTTAAACGGGGCTCCGGACCCCCCCTCACCCCGTCCCCGCCTTCATCGTACCGGCCGCTCCCGCCTCCCGCCGCTCCATGGTGCTGACGCAGCGTCCGGCTACGCGGGGAGGACGGAAGCGGCACTGCCGCCTAGCGGCGCGGAGGAATCACTACGAGGAGGGCGGGGGTGTGTTTATGCGTTGATTGGTTGGGCTCGACGTCGTGTGCGTAAGCACGCCCCCACCGGACCGTGCGTCGTGGTATAAAAAAGGGGAGCACTTCCGGTTCTCGGCACTCGCGGCCGCAGCGAGCCGGCAGGCCGGTCCTGGCTCCGTGTCCGCCATGTTCCCTCCGGCCTCGCCATCGGGGCCGCGATGGAACCGGCCGCGGGTTCCTCGTCCCGCTGCCGCCTCCTCCGGCCCCGGTCTCCCCAGGGGCCTTCGAGGATCTGGTGCAGGTGAGGGGCGGGGAAATGAGGTGGAGTAGGCGGGGTTACGCGTGACCACGCCCGTTCCCATTCATTGCAGGCGCTGCCCCAGGAGCCCTGAGCGCTCGGTGGGGATTGGAGGACGAGAAGGATGTGTGAGCGGTGGGCGTGACCTTATGGTCTCCAGGGGGCGGGGCTTAAAGGGATGGAAATGGGTGGGGGTCCTTCATCCCCATCCCTAAAGGGTGGGGGCTTTGCCTGACCCCCATGCATCTACTTCCATTGCAGCGCTGGCAGCGGAGTGACCGCCGTAGGCGGCAGCATTGAGCAGGCCATGGTGAGGGGTCCGGGGGGGGGGATTGGGGGGCTCTGGGGTTGGGGGGGTGTGGGTGTCCACCGCCTCGTTTTAAATAAAGCGCGAGTTTTGCAGCCCGGGGGGAGGGTCTGTTATTAATTAGCGGTAATTAAACGGGGGGGTAATGAGGAGGAGGAGGTGGGATTCGAACTCGCGGCCGTGTGAGCGCCGCCATGATGGGAAGGGCCGTCTTGGGGGTGGTACCCATTGGCCGCCATCTTGGGAAGGGCACGGAGGAGCAAGCGCTGCGCGTCGCCATCTTGGAAAGGTGAAGCGTGATTGCCGCCATGTTGGAGGAGGTGTTCCTGCTGGCCGCCGCCATCTTGGTAAGGGCACCTCTCAAGGGGCGTGGTCTACACCGGAAAAAGCGTGTCCAACCGCCAGGATGAGGCCGCCGGAGGCAGCGCCGCCGCCGCCGCTACCGGGGGGGATCCTGCGGCGAGGGGGGGGAGAGCGCGGGGGAGGCGAGCGGCAGGTCCGGACCGCTCCATTGAGCCCTTAACGGGGGGGGGTCATGGCGGGGCCTCCCCCTTCACATCCCCTCAATTCCCCCCTTAGGTTCGGTTCGCGGTGGCGGGGCCCGGGCAGGACCATGAGGAGCAGCGCGGGGGGGAGGCCCCCTTGGCGACCCCGGTTCCCAACAGCTCCCGCGCGGCGGCGGCGGCGGCGCGGAGGGAGGGGGGAGCGGGACCGGAGCCGTTCGATGCCCCCCGCGCGGCCGCGGCCCTGCTCGGGAGCTCGTTCGCTGCGCGCTGCGCCGTGGGGGGGGCGGCGGCCGGAGGTGAGCCCATGGGGGGGGGGGGTTGTTTCTGTTTGTTTTTGTCTCTTCGTTTTAACCAAAATCCGCTCTTTTCACCCCATTCCGCAGCCATGAACGTGCCCCCCGCGCAGCGCCTCTACCGCGGGCTCATCAGCCTCGCTGTGCCCCCCCCGATGGGGCGCAGGAGGGGGGCCCTGCCTCAGATGGTGCCCCACAAGGTGAGACACCCCCCCCGCACCCCCCTCCCCCCCACCACGCACCCCCCCTGCCCCCCACTGTGTTAATCTCTTCCCTCCCCCCCCCCTTAGGTTCCCGGCCCTGCCATTGGCTCCCCGCCGGGGGGAGAGGGGGAGCCCTGGCTGCCCCCCCCCGCCCCCCTCGCTGACCCCCGGCCCCTCCCCCGCCCCCCCAGTGCCGCCTTCGTCATGTACCGGAAGCTGCAGCAGTGGGGGGCGGGCTGAGGGGGGTGGGGGTCACCCCCTTCTCCCCTTCCCCAATAAAGCCTCGTTTTCAAGCTCTGTGGGTGAGTCCATGGGGGGGGGGGGGGTCCGTTCCCATCAACCATTGCGGTAATGGGGGGGCTGGGTGTGAAAACTGCAGCTCCCAGAATCCCTTGCGGACCTGCGCATGTGCAGCTCCCGTAGGCGGTGCCAGGGCGTCGCTATGGTGACGGGGATACACCACGATGATTGGCGGGGAATTTGCATGCCTTTCAATGGTGGCAAATAGAGACTTCCCATTGGGCTGTTCCACTTGGGTGGGGGGGAACGTATGGGGGGCATGGGCAGGACCAAACTAGGGGGCAGCCACCTTCCGAATAAACAACCCCACATTGACCAATCACCTCCTTTATTCCCAACCCCCCCCCCCAGCACAGACCAAACCACCGCAAACACCCGCGGGGGGGGGGGTGAGGTTGGAACACCCCAAAATCGACGGGAGGGGGTGGTTGGACTCCCCCCTTTTGGCATCTTCTTTCGTGGGTGGGGGAGGAAAGGAGCGACGCCCTCCTCTCCCCCCCATTGGTGGCATCCGGGTCCCCCACACTTGTGGGTCGCAGGGGGGGCTCAGTGGGCATTGCCTTGGCCCTTGTGGAAGAGATAAATGGGCCTCTGGAAGCCTGTGGGGAGAAAGGAAGGGGTCAGGAGCACCCCAATCTCACCCCACACCCCCAGATTGTCCCTATGAGACCTGTACCCCCCCCTTTCACCCCATAGCCCCCCATCCGTGCCCCTGCCCCCACCTTTGGCCGCGTGCTGGGGGGTCCCCAGCAGCTCGTAGCTGTCGAACCCCACCTCGGGGGAGGTCAGGTAGGACGGGAACTGCTCCGGGCGCAGCCGGATCCGCTGGTAGTTCCGGTACGTGGTCTCCTATGGGGGGTAAGGAGCAAGGAGAGGGGTGAGCCCCCCAAAAGCAGTCCTGAACCCCCCAAACCAGCCCTAAATGAGCCCTGAATCCCCCAAAACCACCCCTAAATGAGCCCTGAACCCCCAAAACCACCCCTAAATGAGCCCTGAACCCCCAAACCACCCAACCCCCAAAACACAAAACCCACCTGCAAACAGCTCTGAGCCCCGCAAAACCACCCATAATGAGCCCTAAGGCCCCCCAAAACCAGCCCTGAACCCCCCTAAACCACCCCTCAATGAGCTCTGAACCCCATAAATGAGCCACAAATGAGCCCTGAACACCCCCAACCCCCCCCAAACGACCCCTGCACCCCCCCATTCATCCCCCCCCCCCATAACTCACGGTGAGCCCCTTGCGCTTGCGGTAGGAGGCCCAGGGCTGGGGCTCCAGCAGCAGGAGCCCCCCGGGCCGCAGGTGCCTGTAGGCCCTGCGGAAGAGGCGCTTGAGGCCCTCGTCGCCCCAGTTGAGCTGCACCCACTTGGTGAGGGACAGGCAGAGGACGACGTCGAACTCGGGGCGCTGCGCGGCCACCGCCTCCTCGCGCTCGGGGACGTAGTTACCCTGCAATGGGGGGGGTTGAGCCGCGGCTGCCTCGGGACCGCCCCCTGAAGCTCCGCCCCTCTCGAAACTCCACCCCCTTTGAGACCAAGCCCCGCCCTCACTCCCCCCCAAGTACGTAACGGTCCCATAGCCCTATGGAACGCTCATATATAGCCACAAATACCTGTGTAACCCTCAATGTGCTATATAATCACACACATCTCTATACAGCGCTCTCAATATCCTATATAATCCCCCCCACACCCCATATAACCCTCCCATAGCATTTATAACACCCCTGCATCCCCATAACCCCCGCACATCCCCATATAACCACCCCCATAACCCATATAACCCTCCCACACCCTATACAACCCCCCACATCCCCATGTAACCCTCCTATACCCAATATAACGCCTCTATATCCCCATTTAACCCTCCCACATGCCCTATATAACCCCCCATATCATATATAACTCTCCCACACCCCCATATAACCCCCCCATACCCTATATAACCCCCCCACATCCCCATATGGCCCCCCACACCCCACATAACCCCCCCACACCCCATATAACCCCTTTACATCCCCATATGGCCCCCCACACCCCATATAACCCCTTTACATCCCCACATAACCCCCCCACACCCTCATATAACTCCTTTACATCCCATATAACCCCCCCACATCCCCATATAACCCCTTTACATCCCCATATAACCCCCCCACCCCATATAACCCCTTTATATACCCATATAACCCTCCAATACCCCCATACAACCCCTTTACATCCCCATGTAACCCCCCCACACCCCCATATAAGCCCACACATCCCCATATAACCCCTTTACATCCCCATATACCCCCCCCACATCCCCATATAACCCCTTTACATCCCCATAACCCCCCCCAACCCCCCTGCTCCCCCCCCTCAGACCCTCACCGTCACGAACACGACGTTGTGCGGGAAGTCGGCGGCCCCGGGCCCGTCGGGGGGCAGGCGGGGGGCAGCGATGGGGCCGCGGCTGGCGAGCAGGGCCGCAGGGAACCCCTTCCTCCCCCCCCCTCCTGCCGCGGCCTCCCCCCCCCCGGCCTGCAGCTCCTCCTCCGACAGGTAATGCCGGATGTTCTGCCGGGCCGAGCGGATCAAGCCCCCGTCAATGTCCAGCCCCACGACCCGAGCGGGCCCCCAGCGCTTGGCGATGCTCAGGGTCAGGTGCCCAACGTTGCAGCCCACGTCCAACACCTCCTTCCCCGCGAACCACTCGGGCCGCATCGCTCGGAGCCGCCCGTCCTCGCAGTCGGGGTTCCGGTACCCGTAGTATTTGCAGTAATTCCCGTACTGGAACTTGCGGGCCTGGCGCCGAGGGGGGGTTTTCCCCGGGGGTTTCGGTTTCTCCGGTGGAGGCCGCGTCCCTTCCGATTTACTGCAAGTCCGTCGGCGCTTGCGGTGCCGGCCGGGCCCGGGGCAAGCGGCGGAGGCGGAAACAGCGGAGCACGGAGGGGTGCTGGAAGCGGGGAGGGCGTGCGGGCAGGCGGCCTCATCGGGCCCGGAGACGGACGCACCGGAAGCACCGGACGCACCGGAAGTACCGGAGGCGGCGCTCGCTCGCTGCTGGCCGCGGTGTCGGTGTCTCCGCCGGGAGGATTTGGCCGGGGAGGCCAAGCGGAGGCCGTCTCCCGGCGCG